ACTTTCATAATACAGATACAGATACGCTACAGATGCCGTTTGACTGAGCAATTAGATATTATGAAACTGCGTTGAAAAGGTAACTTATATTAAATTAAAAAAAGATTGTTCATAGACAATATTTATCCTGTAGCTCATCGTGCGTGTTAGTTGTAGAAAATCCGTATCTGTTTTGCTATGCAATGGTATAACTTTCAGGACCTCAGCAGAGGTAAATGCTTTGCACCACTTAACCAATAGCCAATTAATACGTACTTATAAACCAGAGAATTCCTAACTACTATGGTTAATTACGCAGCAGGCTACGATATATTTAAATGTGGATGAAGATAGTCAAGCTTCGGCACGAATTGGTAGGCTCGACCGGAGTGACACCACGGCCTCACAGAAAACCGGCGTGGAACAACCACAGTGTTTTTACTAGGGAGGCCCAATCCTCTCTCAATCCCAAAATCTCTTAAATTCCTAAAAGGTCGGCGACGTATGTAACTACTTCGTTTGTCCATGGGCGGCGCTGATTGCTTACCGCCAGGTAATCCGTCTGCTCGTTTCCAGTCCTATCACATAAAAATAGATAATGCTGGTCTGTTAAACGCTGGTCTAATCTCAACGTTATCACGTAACAATCGTTCGATTATTGAGATACTGGACAATAATTTACAGGTGAAAGAACGTTATCGGCATGCTTTCACATTATCGTGTCCAATCAATGGTATTAAATTAACAAATGACATTTGATCCTAATCGCAAGACAAACAAGTTTAATAGTTATTTGTGGTCGGCATCGCGGTGGTTATGCAGTGTGCAATCGACGTATGACGAGATGATTACGAAGTTTTGGATTATAATACTTACCTGGGACACGCATGAACGCATCGAATAATTGACTCGATAAATGGAAAATCGAAAGCGCGTGTGGAGACTGAAAATGTAGCATATCTTTAACGTTTTATTCATGCACAAATAAAACCCTGAAACCATAGCCAACCATAACCATAGTATAGGAAATAGGAATAGAACCTCCGGTTACATACGCGTACAGGCTAGACACGGCATGAGACGGTCATGCACCTATGACTTTTATGACTTTAAAACAAGAAATTTAACTGTATTCTACCTGAAACTAAATTACAAATAAGTAAATAAGATAAACGTACGTTGTTGACGTTCGCCGCACCTTTTATTATTCATTCGACAAAACTTGATTATTTTTTTCGTTTCAATGTTAAAGAGGTAGGTCAAAAATGTTATTAATAATAATTAAACATAATAATAAAGATCCTATAAATGCCGGACATGTAACACATTGAACAAGTTCTTCATATTATAATGTTCGTGAACAATGTTACGACGGGGAATAAATTATAGTAGTAAGCTAGAAGAATAAAAATTCTATCGAAGTAGGTACTTATAAAGCATTGAATGTGAGCGTTACCTCTGCCACGCCTGCGTGGGATTACGGGTCGTATCCATGAATATACCTACATGCCGTTTAAGTAGTGAAAACTAGTGGACTTGTATGGAATGATACTACGACATTCTTTAGACCTCAGAGACTCGGCTCCTGGGAGTGTTATTTATTCTACCTACACACTTAATTCAGCTAATTCAATTTAGTACATCAGACGTCTAAAAGACATGCGATAAAAATATACATACGAATATGTTAGCTGATAACGTAAGAAATATTAATTAATTTTCTTGTATTGACACTGTTCGAAATTGTAATTCTACACACGTGTTGCGAGCTGATCGCTGCGGTAAACGGCGACACCAATGATCATTGATCATTATCAACCTTCAACATCACATGCTTCAATCATCTAGTTATAATGACTGTTTATCATGTTATTATAAGTTTCATGCTCTTAGATTTGAAATATTTTGCATATGTTAAGTGAGGTCATGATCTATCTGTGTGTAAAAAGCTGTCGAAGTTTTTTTTTTGTAAAAACAGGTCAATCATAAAAACATCTATTAGCTACGTAACTATACTTCAATAAAAATTAAGTAGTAGTCTTACATTTTTCACTTACATAATTGTTTAATGACTTATTTGCCTACAAGTACATATGTACTTGCATATCAATTTGCAAAACAAACAGAGAATTTACAGACAGAGTCATAGATATGTTTAAATGGCCTTGGTATAATTTGAGAGTGAATTAAACTCCATTGTCGGTTATTGTCTGTGTGACCCGATGTCATGGAAGTACCGTGGACTGGGGCTGCAGTGTAGCTTCACATTTAATAGAGACTTATTAGTTACTTGGTACAGTCAATTCTAATCTGTGATGTCATTTGGCAAAACATAAGTTACCATGTTCTATTGTAGTATATATTGTTGTATACATGGCTATAAAGTAACAAGTAGCAAAGGCGGGGCAGTGTACAACAGAGTAACATGAATCACTAAATTAGATGAGTATCATTGATTTGTTTACTTAATACATATCCATGTTCTCAACTAATTTAGAACTGGTAGTAGCCAGAATAAAAGATAAATAACAATTGTAACAGTCAAGAACTTCATTTATCCTATGTGTAACTTGAATATTTAAAAGAAAAAAGGATCATGACCACAAAGTATTATAATCAATGATGAATAAACCCTAACACCTAATATGACACACTGAGATTATCAATCAATAACAAAAACATGTTTAAACTGAGGTATTAGAAGGCCTTATTGGAGCTTGATAATCTTATTAAGTTTGTAGCACACAGCATTTAAAGGTTTCCTACCAGGGCAAACAGCAGCAACTTGCCAAAAATGGCTCACAAACTACTAAAGGTCAATAAAAACAAGTTGAAATGCATATTAAACAGTAAATACATGAAATATTCTAGTAGTTGTTAAGTAAATGATATTATGCAGATATACCATTGTGAATAGTAGGCAAATGAACTGAATAATTAAGTGTTAACATAGTCACCTTGACATGATGAGTAGCAGTGGGTAATGCCAGTAGATGTTTGTTACTTTTTCTATTGCACATGGGATTATAATACTAAATGCAGTCAAGTTTTCCTGCTTTTCAAGGTGAATTTGTAAGTCAAAGCTTTTAGTTAAGAGAAAAACCTTACTATATTTCAGTAATAGATGTAGGTAGTAAGACTAAGCTTAAATACAGTACTGTACTGTACCAAATTAACTAAAATTATATTATTATTCTGAGTAATGTTACATTTGTTTTTATTTATAATATAAAAACAAAACTTAATAGTTTTATAACTAATATAAACATGACCAAATATATTTAGAAATCTAATAAGACAAATATGCATGATATTGAATTATGAATATAAAATCAAAACATCACCATGTTGGAAACTTGAACCTCCACTGTTATCAATCAATAACAAGTTGTTTGTGAATCATTGCCTCATCACCAATTTCAGAAAAAAAAAATAGCAATATGTTGTGTCCTTGACCATTCTTAATTTAAATTTAAATGTGAATTATATGCACACACCAATACAATGCACAGATTTATATATAATACAATATTTTTTTTTATTAGTTGAAGTGAATCATGTAATACTGATTGCTAGTGTGATGTTTTTGGGTGTTTACCACCATATTACCCTTATTACTCACCATTATTTTTCATGTTAGACTTCTAAAATAATGACTCACTATTGTCAGGTAATAGTCTCATTAAATCTAATTAGCCTTTCATTAAAAATAATATTAAACTTAGATGGTTTTCAAATAAACAGACTTAGGAGTCCCAGATGGTCCACCTGAACAGGAGATGAAACTACTATATAATGTATGAATATGTCAAATTCTTATTATTTCTCATTTTTAATTCTATGTATTATTGGCCTTTTTGTAAAAAAATATTTCTGCATTAATGACAAAATAATTAAGTGAATGATAAAGTTAAAAGTAGGTACTTATATAGTATATATTACATGTATGATAAATGTGTGTGGAAATAATAATGAATATCTTACTTCACCACTCCGAGCCGCAGGAGAATTTTCTTCGATCTCGTATATAATATGTGGCAAACCGGCTTCGCCAAGCAAAGAGAATCCGAATCCCAAATTGTCACTACGATTCAGAACCACTAGTCTTTCGTCAGCCATATTCAGTGTACAGCAGCATTGATTAGCATCCACCAAAGGATTTCACAAGTAGCACTTAAAAAAACTACATGAGGGAGTATTTAAAATGGATATTATTCTTTTTAACGAAAAATATTCATAAATTACAATACACGATAAAAAGCAAGCGCACCCAACCAAAGCGAAGACAGGTACAGATTCGTAATTATTTTGAAGTTTGTTGTTGAGGTTACATTCTCTCCTTCCTTACTGACTTTTCTTACCTAGGCTTTTTGCCTTACTCGTCAAGTGTATGGTGCACCTTTATTTGCAACGAAAAAGAAATTATTTTTAGAAAATAAAAAATAAATGATAATTTGTAATTATAATTCATTGAACTTTTTAGAATGTTCGGACTGGTATGTAGGATTTTAAAAAGAACATGAAAATGTATATTTTATTTTTCTAAAAAGAAGACAGTGTGCTTTTTTTACTTAACTCTTTCTTAGTAGTAGGTCAAAGATATGTATACATATAATCTGAAACTATAATTACTGTCCATAATGTCAATAATAGTTTGACGATTCGGTTGGTACTTACTACTACGATTTCATTAATTTTTTAATACTATGAAATTATATATTATGAAAGAAACGATAGCCTTACATTGAAAAAGCTTTATTTTATTGCGTCCTAAAATTATACCCGGTTTCCCTAATCATTCATGTTGAGTATGTAATGGTTAGTATTTTTTTTATTTTGTTTTAAAATTGCCGCTCTTTACCATTCGTTTTAGTATAGTGTTGACTGCCCAGACTACCTATAAACTACTTATTTGTTATCATGATGCGAAGGGGAAGTAGTAGTACAAACGATTGAGATTGTGTAATGTTGCTGACAAAAATTAAGCTAAAGTGCTAGTTACCAAGTCAAGCAGTCTGTCAGCAGGAAACACCGAAGTTTGACATGATAATGTCAATTTGACATACCTATTCTGTAAAGTCTGTATTCTGTAATCAGCAGTGTAGTGAGCGAGCTAGAGAGGCTGCTCAGTCACGATTAATTAAAAAAAGTAATTAGTTTAATTCTTCAAAATGTACATCATCTCGAACTTAGTCAAAGTAACGATACCCAACTATTTATCTGGATTACCCATCCCTGATTCCTTTGGGGGTTGGTTTCGCCTTGGAGGTAAGCATCAGTGAGACCATGTGTACCTATATAATATTTCTCAAAGTTCTTTTATAATGTTTAAGATAAAAGCATATATTTTTAAAAGTGTTTTACACTAATTACCAAGATCCATCACAGAGCTATCGTGAGGTAACAGTACATGTTTCTTAAACTATACAGTTATAAATTCTAATGCATGCGATAATGGACTTTAACTGGTCACAATAAAATCCATTTTTATAAATTGTAGTATTAAGGTTGTTTTTGTGGTATTCCTGAACAATTTCAATGACACACTTTCAAACGAAATTATTTGCCTTTACCTTGCGATATAACAGACTTGATACATAGACATAATAACATGCAACTTCTATTATTTCATAATTTGTTGGTCATTGCTTATAAATTGTCTATTGTTGATTAGAATAGTAATAAAACTAAGTATATTTTAATGTGTTTGATACACTCTGAGTATGAGTAAAATTTGTTTTCAGTGAAGGACTGGCTTGCTTTAATTCCACCTGTAGTTGTGGTGGGAGGCATTTCATACTACTCTTATGATACCATCAAGAAAGCCCGAGCTGGTAGCAATGGACGAGTCAATGAATGTGTGCGAAAGGATCTAAACAAAGTTGTTGATTTTATTGATATTGAAGATATTACTGAGAAGGTGTCTCTGTGCCGCTGTTGGAGAAGCAAAAATGTTAGTATGACTTAGTTAAATCTACATAGGCTGTTTCTGGTAATACTTTTTGCCAATATCAGAATCAAAATCGAAAGAGACATTATAGAGAGGAAAATGGGGATATAGCAACCTTTTTGTGTAGCTGTTTGCTAACCAAACAAATGCCACCTCGCAAGGTAGTTGAATAACTTTACAAAGCAGGGGTGGGCCCCTAGTATTATATAACAATATAAAAGCTTCTGATACACATATTATATTTGCATTATCTATTATAGCGTTTAAATCACCCCTAAACAGAGAAAGGTTCAGAAGCTTAACAGGGAATAAACTGTTGATTTATTTGTCACCATGTTATTATATCACCAGTGAAGAGGTTCATTATAGTCTAATTTTTGATAAAATCTCATGATACAGACTCCAAAAGTAATAAATGTTGCTAAATAAAATTAGAGTTAGTTTGTTTTTATCTTTTCTTACTATTATATTATCAGTTGACTTGTGATGTTATCAGATTAGGATTGTGTTCTCATAATAAAAACATATTTATCTTGGTTTATGTGTAGTAAGTATTATCTAATTCATAACTACTTACCCTTGCGTCATATTTTATTATTATTTATCTTAGAAAAACTGTGAGAGGTCACAACCAGGCTAATCTAATAAGCTAATCATTCCGACAGAAATTATCAAAAGAGTTGAATGTTTATATAGTACTCAAATTAATGTTTTTTTTCTGTTATTACAGTGGCCGTACTGTGATGGTGCTCACGGTACCCATAACAAGGCAACTGGTGACAACACTGGCCCAGTTGTAATTAAACATAAGGAAAACAAGTGAGCAATAAGAACAAAATAAATGTCAAGTAACAAGGTGATAACCGAATGTGATTATATTTATTGCAGAAATTGTTACCATATTAAAATATGTATAAATTGAAATAATTTACAGTACCTTATAAATCATCAAACTATTTGCTCATAATAAACATGTAATCGGTTTATTAATTTTAAGTTTACTTTTGTTACTTTTTTAATGTTTTGATGTTTTTTTGCTGTTTTTTAGCCATTCTTAGCTTTCACAAAACTTGTAAACTAGTGTTTTAGAAAAAAAAAAATGAAATCAATAAATATTTTTTGGAATGTTATTAGAAACTTTTTTTTTTGTTTTATTTTTTTAAGGTATTTTTCTGGAAATTACAGTTCATGGTCTAGAAATTATTGTGAAAAAAAATACTGGGTGTTATTATAGAATTTTATTTAATTACCAAATTTCCTTAATTAAAACATCACAGACATGTTCTGACTTTAATTATAAATAAATATTGAAACATGCCAATAAGTCACATGTTTAGTTATTGACTACAACCAACATGGTTTGTTCTACAAATTGTTAAATATGGCACACTATTGATTTGATTCATTTCACAATTAGCGCAAGTTATATCATACATACTCGTAATCAAACGATTTGATACAAAAAAGATAAAAAAAAAATACATTAAAAAAATATTAACATTGTACTTTAGAACAATATTGTTGCGTTTCATACTTTTTAATCACTTAAAAATAATTACAGTAAGTTGCAACAAACTATTCTGTGGAATTGCTGCAGAAATTTCGATAGATTGAGAAGTGTTTACCTTGACTAGAATCAGCGGAGCCTGATTACAAGATTATAAAATCAATAAAGATAATGCAACTCAATGTTAGTGTACTTTTCGTGACAATAACCAATTTTTCTTACGTAAGGAGGAAACCTTATCATTATCAAGTTACTAGCATGCCTGCAGAATGATTGATGAATAATGATAGCATAATTCATGAATGCAAAAATCTTTTCTACATTGTAAGACCTACTTAGTTTCTAAATGATGTTTATTCTACGAAATTTAGTGTTATTCAGTCTTGAAGCTTCTCAGAAAATGGTGCCACCGAAGCTGATGATCTGGAGAATTGAGTAACGTGCTCGAGGCTCTTCCCATTTATAAGGTTCACAACTGAAACAAAACATTGCGTAAATTAGGGTTATTCTGCAACCTAGTTTTATTAGCGTCAAGCAAAATTTTATTAATTCCTGTGAAGAATATTGACGACCTGTTGCCTTATTTTCAACAGATCAATCGTTTATCAATTACTAGATTAATAATTATTATAGATTTTTAAACAATCGTACCTTCAATGAAAAGGTAATTGAACCATAAAGTTTGGCGTACCTCAAGGTAGCGTTCTGGGTTCGTCCCTACTAAATATCTACATAATAACTTACATACGTGCGATAATTGTATTGTAAACTAGCTGATATTCGCGACTTCACTGGCGTTAGCCTTTGTTCACCGGAGATACACTATCTCCGGTGAAGCTTCCCAACAGAGAAATAATTTTTCAAATCGGTCAAATACTTTCCGAGCCTATTCAATTCAAATAAACAGTAAATTCTTTCCTCTTTAAAATATTATACAGTACCTACTTATTGGTAAGAACAATAATATCTGGTAGTGTTGGTTGGCCTCCCCTTATCGGATCAGTATAAATTACCTAGATACCTACTTTAAAAAACGAAATTCTCACGAAGATAGAAATTCTAGTATAGTCTCTAAAGATTAATTCATTTTATACGTGCAGCCTGTGGGCCGACTATACCCAAAAATCTTACAGTGCCCTCCGAGTCCAATTTAATAATGCATTCAGAGTGCTGATGGGGCTGCGACGATTCTGTAGTGCATCAGGGATGTTTGCGGAACATCGGGTAGACTGCTTTTATACTACTATGCGTAAAAGATGCGCATCCCTGGTGCGAAGAGTGCGGGGCAGCGCCAACAGCATTCTTGGCATGATTGCCAGTCGACTGGACTGTAGTTACATCAACCATTGCTCCGCCATTTGTCATGGGGTGGTGCAGTAATGGTTATTTATTATTTACTAGTTTATGTGGTGGGTAGTTGTAGCATTACTAACGTTAGTCTGTAAGAACATCGTTACTAACAAATTGGGCAACTAAGTCTGAAATAAAGTAAAATAAAATAAAAATAAAGGATCGACTCTAGTACTCTACACGACTATAAATTGTGAGTATAAGAAACCTTGACCTTTATTTTTGTTTTGTTATGGATTCTACAAATGTAGACAAGTTGGAAATACCGGTCTCTTCAGTTTTAAAGTATCTATTTAGCAAGCCAGCAAGTCGGCTGTTAACTTATCAGTCGTTTTACTGGCCATACGAGTTCGTAGATAAAGTGGCTTGCATTAAGTTTCGTTTCATCACGACTTCTATCCCTTTAAAATGTCAGTAGAGTATTGTTGACAGATTATAAAGTAGGAATCCGAAAGAAGAATTTTGACTGATATCCCTTGATCGATTAGGTAGGTACGTTTTTACACACTACGCTTCTGTCTAAAAAAGAAACATAAACCATAAGTTTTGGTTTGTAAGAACAAATGTTTAACTTACTTCTATCCTAGTCTCTGCAATAGTTTCTTCGTTCCGTAGAAGTTCGTGTTTAAGGCCATTACGTTTTCTGAAAAAAGTAATAAATTCGTTTATTATTTGAATTACGTAGGTATTTTGGTTGGGGAGTAGGTACCTATGAATGGAAATCCAATAAAACGAACTATAAACCGCGCAGTGAAGTCTTTGTTTGGGGTTTATGTCGTCAGAGGATTATGTTCACTCTGCATAACGTGGCTGTGGTCCCAGTTGACCGCTTCCTACGCACCGGGCCCTCGAGAAGGTGCATATCGGGTTACACCACACAATAGGCACGTTATGTTCACTTGGAACGTAAATAAATATATTATGCGCGTTATTTCTGACGCTAAATTCAATTTTATTGAAGGGTAGGGTTTTATTGTTGCTAGGTCAAAAGTGCTTACAGGTATATCCTCCTCCACACGATGAGGGCTGTGTAGGCGAGGCACACAATGCTGCAAGTGACTACAACCATAATGCCAGCTGCAGCTCCTATCGGCTCCCCTCTGACGCTACCGGACCGTATTCTCTGGGAATCTTTGCGAACTGCATCGCCAGCAGCTGGAGAACAAAGAAAGTATGCCATAGGTAAACATAAGTCAGTGAGTTTTAATCGGAAAAATCTTTAAGCTATTTTATTCAAGTTACCTTGTAAGAACTCTGCTTGGGAGTCAGGAGTTAAAGGCACTTCTACCCGAGCATCTTCTGCGTCTTCTGGGAAAGTTGGCAAGTCCACGTGGTGTTCATCATCATCCCTCGAATGAAGCATGTCGAACACTTCCGATCTGTGTAGAGCAGTGGTTGATTTGTTATAAAACTAAGTATTTTCAGTACAGTACCTACATAAGAAATTGTACCATATCTGCTACCTACATTATGTAGTTTCAAAGCAAAATTCTATTGTTCAATAGAGATCATGTACCAACATTGCACAGTAAATTAACAAAGTAGGTAAACACTGTAATATAATTATTTAGTGTTTATCTTTTGTAAATCTTACCTACTGACTCCATTTTTGTCATCCACCAGAAGTTTGAGAACGGTTGCGTTAGCCTCTAGTGTCTTGTAACGGCTGTTGTCCTCCACCTCCTTGGCCAGCTCAGGCAAAGTACTTTCTTGTTCCTTCAATGTTTCAGAGTTCTCGCCGTAGCACGTTCTAATATCTGGAATATGATAAGTGGTATTGTACACAGATTTAACACGAAGATTAATATATAAGTAGGCGCCTAGTGTCAAGTTATACGAATCAATTATCACGGTCGATGTGAAAGTTATTAGAAAATGTCGGGAAACCGTTATTACCATGTCCAAAGTTGCCGTTTTTATAGTCGGTGTTAAGTTGTTAGCTAACAAAGAAGTGCAGTGGGCTCCAAACTTTATCTAAATGCAAACATTCTTGTTGCCAGCCGACCAACACTTCAATTAGTGGGTCAGGCGCAGCTTTAACTTAAATGTGTACTTAACGGTGTTCAAATCCGGTTTCTTGTGCTACCAACGTCTGAGCTCATATTTTTAGCTTATTTCCGAATGATAAAGCGATTGATGTGGTGACTCATAGCTGTCTCATTGTTCTCAGTAACCTCGTATCTCCAAGTGAAAGTATTTATCGGAGCAAATAGACTAGATCTTGTTAGTGCGAAGATCATTAGCCGCAGGCGTAGCTTGGGTTCATTTTAAGTGAAGCTTTGAAAGTAAGATTGCTTTGTCGTATGGGTATGTGGGTACTTACATCTTAGTAGGTACCTACACATATATTATTAGGTATAACGGGTTATGGGTATTGGTACTTATCGATTAGAATAACGATCAAAGAAGTTTAAATTACGGAATAAAAATAAAATCAGAAGACAACCGGGAAGGAAGTTAAAACAGCAATACTTATAACTGACAGTGGAAATCTTGATGAGTAAATTTTCAAAGAAATCTTTACAGCATCTGTACAATAAGTAATCAATCATTTTATGGATCAAAGTATCATTAATGTTACCGAGGTTGTGTTTTTTCAATAGCCTGCAACTAATTTAATGTACCTAGATAATTAAATTGGTGGTAAAGATAATGGAATGTATGTATGTAGATACTGACGCTACTGTTTTGGGAGTTAAGTTTATTATGTAGATATTAAAAACTATTTGTAACAATGAGAGCTAAGTCCAGGGTTTCGCCCACAGTTCATAGCTTGGTGAACTAGGTAGGTACTCCACATATGTGAGATATACTGATAGTACTTATTTCTACGGTCATTACCTATCTGGTAGAAGAGAATGCTACCTTAATGACTTTGACAATCAAGTGCGTCATAGTAACTAATTGGGCGCTAAACAATTAACTTATCTTGATGAATAAATGATAGTGTTTCCTGTTGTTTCCGCTAGCAGTAGATTACCGTGCACGGCCATAATTTAAACATTGATTCCATAGAGTTAAACAGAAACTTAAATGGTATTAATGCCGCCATTCTCACGGCCCTTGTCGGAAGAATAATGAACGTTTCCGCGTATAATCACTGAGCACTCACGAAGAGTTCACTTGATAACTATTAATTGATTTGAATGTATAAGCTCGATGTTGCGTTGTGTTGCGGAGGTAAATTCTTTTTCTTCCTACCATTCCTACCCAATCCCTAAATCACATTATCCTCAAAAAGCCTAAAAACCGTTCGCTTTTTTTGCCGACGTATTGCAAAAAATATATTTAAGTAATACTGCTTTTGTATCAAATTGTCAGTAGGTATTCATGTCGTTATAAAACGTAGAACAAACTCTTTATGCAAATAACTTTAAGTTGTGTGCTTAGAAACCAAAAGTAAATTAGCTTTAGGTAAGTAATTAGCAAGCATGTCTACCAGATCAGGTTTTTATGTAAACGTAGTTCTAAATTACCATAAAGTGCAGTCTATATTCAAACATTAAGTACTTATATTTATTTGTTATGTAAACAATAATATTGGAACGAAAGAACGAAAATAGTTCCCGACTGGAATGGTCTTGTTACACAGTCACAGTTGACTTAACGACGTTACTGCGTAGATAAAATTTGAGTCTTCCTTTAGGTCGACGGTAAATTGTTTAAGTGTTTATCTAAGTATCTTGGAACATTCCACTGTCCACTGAGATTTAGTTGAATCAACAGTAAGTAACACTAAACTAATTTTACATGACCTTAATATAGGTTTGTTTGACTTTAGTTATAGACATAGTCGCCACCATCACCTAGATTTTAGTCGCTATCTTCAGTTTGTGGATGTGTGTTGTTGTTTTATTTCTTATCTTTATCTATATGTTACGTTTTGTGACCGATTATTTTGTATAATTTCTTTGTATTTGTGACTATTTGAGTGCTGTCGCTTGCCAAGGCTTTTGAAACAAAAATGACTGAAAAAATAATTGTAGGTATTCTTAATTCTGATAATACTTAAAAGTGAAAGGTGATGCTAAGAACTTTTAGAGTTTTATTTGAAAGCGAGTGTGTAAATAGGATTTCGAGTTGTATTGTAGTTATTGCAGTAAAGTTTAGGTAAATAATCAGTTTTTTGAACACACAGGACTACCGTACTGTCGGGCAAAGCAAATGATTAAGAACTAAGACTCCGGCAGCGGGACATTAGAGAGCCGGTTAATAATTTTCATGTACCTAATGTAGTGTGGGTGTCGCTACATCAAAAGGTGCTTAACCTCACAATGGACCATCAATGTCCATGTCTGCTATAGAGCCTTATTCTATGTTTGATTAAATTCTTACTAAGAAAGGCGTGATAGCCACCATATATTCCACGTTACTGTTTGGTGTCAGTGCGTTTACATCTTCCATTTATGGCCGTAAAGGTCAGTTATAATCGAAGCAGAAACTTCCATTCGGCTATAAAATTGTTATGCATGTACATTGAACCGGTGACCTACGCCGAGAAAGGGAATAATCGACTAGTCTCCCTTCTCTAACTTTGAGCTTGGTCACGTTTCCTCGGTCCTTGCGTGCGTAGGTAGATTCATAGCTTTGTATCTAATATCGACTTCGTTTTATACACAACATGAATATGTAAAGTATCCTTGTATCTAATAGGTTCACTGGATGCATATTCTCAATTCACATATATTCTTACTGCATATTTAGTAACCTTTGTTCTTTCTCTTAGCGGTGCAATACGTGAGCAACTTAAAAAAAATCCTTTGTTTTTGACATTACTCCTTGTTGTCAGAGTTAAAAAGATTGCGGTACTACGAGGATGTAGAAAAGTTTCTCTCTGTCCTTCAGTAAGTGCATTCATGATTGTTAGTAGGGCAAATATCGAAGCAGAGAGGACACGATGAGGTAAACGTTAAAACATTCGCTCCATTCATTCACGGCCACCTGAGAAATCGTACTCAGTAGCTATGAATCATTATGTAAATTATTTTACGCTATTTACTACAGACGACACTTTAGTATCTGATCTCACATATAAGGTATATTTACATGATAATAAGAATGGGTTTCCTTATGAGTCCTCAATACAATCATCGAAATCATGAATCACTCCCACGTAACAAAATAAACGTATTACTTTACATATCTTCTTAGAATTTGGTCGCAACAAATTGTATGTAATTAAGGTTCCATTAGTTCCGTGGTTCCGTGATAATGAGTGGGTTTTCAGAAGTTAAGTGCTTCTCGAGATAAAGGTGCGTTTTCTATTGCTATTATAACGTGACTATTGGTAAAATACAATATGGCATATCTATCATACGAATTGGATGTGCACGAATCACTATTTTCCCTACCTTTGTTACAACAGGAGATTGACGAGTAATTAAGATTGGTTGAATGATGTAATATTTATAACTTTCGTATAGTCCTAACAGTTTATTACTAGATACGTCAAGTTTATTGTGATTTTATAACACTTTTTATTTAACTGTCGAATTATATCATATCTCCAGACTATGGTGATTATAACACTAAACTGAGCTTAAGATTATTAGCCATTATTTGTAGGAACGCGAAAAACCACAGATAATATCTTTCACGTGCCTGTAAAGATATTAAACGGCACTGAAATTGGTTTACTGTTGTTCTAAAGAGGCTCTTTGATGTAAATTACTTTCGTAATTAAAACTGGAAGATCCATAGATTCAATTCGCTTGACCATTTTAATGATATAAATTTATTCGACTCCACGAATTGAATTATTAATTAATGTTGCTATATAAGTGTGCATTTGTATAATAACCATTACCTATCACGTAATCTGTCTACTTATAAGTATGTAATTTCCTTCTTTAATATCTTTTACCGTTCTTCAGATAAATAACTAATTGATAATTTTGTTTTTGTTTGTCAGTAGAAAGATATTGAAATATAACAAAAACTAATAATAAAATACCTATGAGAATACTAAGAATAAAATACCTATGAGAAATTAAAATGATTCGTCAATTTTGATTAACAGATTGATTAGTTACTCTTTTGTTTTTAGCCGGGGTTGCGGATCCCAGCGCAATAATTTTTTTGCGGCCCCGGCCCGGAGCGGATCAAGAAGTGGAGTGCTCAAAGTAGAGCCGGAGAAGTCATTTGATGATAAATCCCGACAAAAACATCCCTTAAATTGAGACATTTTTTTTGTTGCGATTTAAGTTTTAACAGTCTGAATGAGGCAACGTATGTCAGGCAACTTTTTAACTACAATCTCATTAACATAAGGTACCTAATTACATTTCCTAAAAACAAGACTCTCTGATAACCGTGCCCAGACACGCCAGACACTCCAGATAGTTCTACAATTAGATTTTATGTTTTATGTAATATTTATTCTAATGTATTGGAGATAAGCATAATTCTATCATCTGTCACGGAACGGGATGCTGACGCAAGGGCATTGATATCAGAGATAACAACAGGCCAGCTATTGGCCGCAAGCTTAGTCTTTGGTTATCATTTAGCACAAACTTGCTTAGCGGCGTGTACTGACTTACCTACATAGAAAGTTTTTGTTACATAGATAGTGAAATGTTGCTTAACCGCCTTTGACCAATCTAACACGAACTTTCATGTATGTATTTAAGTAAGTAGTTCATAAAATCATAACCAAATCCAAAGTTCCCAGCTATTATCTAGGTACTTATTTATTTTCTGTTTTATACAAAAGGTTGCCCTTTACTACGATTTTTTCCTGCGTCGTGGGTGCATTTACAAACATAAAATTTCAGACCAGACCCGGAACCACAAAGAGTTGTTCCGAGTGAGAATCGTACTTGCGACACGATGCGCGGCAGCCAGTTGCCCAGGCACCGCGCCAATCGTGCAGTTAAAGTCATAATATTATAAAAGTATTAAGTTTTTGTCGTGAAAGTGATGGTTAGCCACCGGTGCAGCCTATGGACTTTCTACCAAGTTATAAGTGGTAATTAGAGATTTGAGGATTTGGGAATTTAGGGAGCTGTTTGCTTTTAAACTCAACCAATCTTTTAGTTTGACTTAGGTATCTACTTATACAAAGTTTAGAGGGTACCTACACAGTAGAGCATAGGCAAGTTCAATGTCTATGGGAAATTCACACACATAAACGTTACTTTGTTAAGGTATATTTTTAGATTTGATTCTCACGTTCAAGGTTTGATCATGACTAGCTGGATAATGTTGGGAATCATTTCAATTAGAAGCTTTACCTATAATTATATGTAAGTATTTACAAGGAAACGAATGTTACTAAGATAGGGACGAGACAGCGGGAGGTTTATCATTAATCACAAATCGTTTTCTGCTTATCCCCATTGTTGAATGGTTGATGAATACATAACACGAGGATATCTTGATTATTGTTAAACAGTCAACATTACACATTCATGTGAATATCTCACAACACGAGGTTATTTGTGATGTTTTCTTTGCCAAGTTCCTGTTCAACAAATATTTTGTTGCCTCCATTGCTTTATAGTAGTTAATACTCTAGTTAATTGCCAATGTGTGTACATACCCGTCATAGCGACGATGATTAGACAGAGGAGCTGGTAGCGCGCCATTTCATTTGTCGCCCTGCAAACAGATAACTGATTGTATTTATTTATGTTGCTACTGCACGCGCTTATCTCCTCCGGTCACACTTCGTACCTACCTAATTACGTAGGTAAGTGATAAGCGAACTATTAAATCATTGTTCTATTCCCTTAGAACACGATTTTTGTAAGTACTAGGGATTTGAACGCAAGCGTCTATTTATAATTCGAATGTTTTGTTTAAAATTGGTTGTGGCATCATGGAAATGGACGTGTAAATAAAGCGGACACGTTCCGCTAATAATAGATTGTTGTTTATTCACATGTAACTACGTACCTACTACATAAACAACCCTTCTCTACTACGCTACATAGTTTTCATAATATTATTATAAAAACAAATCTGAATAAAATGACTTTTTTCATTAAAAAACACCCAAGTTAAATATTCACGTTTGCGTTCTACCAGTGTTAACAAGATATTGAAGTCACTTTCGCGATGTACAAAGCTAGAAAACCTGTTCTGGATGAGAGCTCGATTGCTCTAAAAATACCTGGGAGTCGTCGCGAGGTATCCGGCCTTAGTTGGGAAGTACCACTTTGCACGATCAATTTAATTTAATGTTCACCACTTTTTGTCACTTATTCCGATGTTGCGTGCGCGGGCGCCTCGGCGTGCGGACGTTCGTCTGGGCCCGAATCGAGCGGTATTCTGCGCAAGAGCGCCGACTGGCGAGCGACTGCAGAGTGACTGCCGGCTGCCGCATGCCGCCCGACGGGAGCCTGAGACGCTGACCTCACTGATGCAGGAAAAGCATTAAACTCTCAAATCGCATGGATAAGGCGAGGATCGATCGAGAAACCATGTCATGGTACTTTTATGACTTTATTGAACCAAGTGTAGATATTTCCATAATATAGGTAGGTAAGTAGTATACAATAGAGTTGCCTAAGTTGATACATATCTGTACTCAAAGTACACTAAATAGTATAAAACGAAGTCGCTTTTTCTGTCCCAGTACCCGGTACTTATGTATAGTTAAATGTTTAAACCTACGCAACTGATTTGATGCGTTTTTTAATTACATAGAATTATTGAAGAGGCTTTATATGTCTACCCAATAACATCCATTTAATAATGGAAAAATTTAGAATCAGCACTGCATTCGTGCAAAGCCAGGGCGGGTCGCTAGTGTCTCGATAAAATGTTTTTTTGAAGTAGATAGTGGGTACCTAACAATTCTATACTGGACCTATCCAAATAATTTTATTTGTTGTTGATTTGTCATCCACTGGATTCTTATCGTTTTTCAGTCCCTATGTTTACCTTAAGAAAAAATTACACCATAAGTACACCATCATCATAAAGATCGACTCTACATTATTCAAAGAAAATACGTACTTATTACATACTTCTTGGTGAGCTTCTCGTAATCTATCTGTAGGTATAGGTAGGTACGGCGGCATATCATATACTACCTACCTACATCCTTTTTGTAGAGCTACGTATGTACGTATAGGGCACAAGTCTTTTTATTTATTACAACTTGAAGTGGGAAGTTATATCACCCTTCTCCAAGTAAGAACAACACGTGTTTGAACTAAGGACACACAAGTAGACAGGTAGTTCCAAGTTTATGTGAATGCAAGTATTATCACATCATTGTACTTAAAAGTACCTAGGTACATGGTACGTAATGTACTGGAGCCTGTTTTATTCAGATTGAGATAAAAACTTCTTTGTTCGTCAAACGTGTGGCGTGGCGGGTGCGCGTGAGACATTCGCTGGGAATTCGCGCCCGGCTGCGCATGCGCGCATTATTCTCTCCCGGTTAGCAAGGCGCGATGGCCGCTGACCCCGATCGACCGACATGTCTTATAAAATCTTAATTTTATTGACAAAGTGCGTTTGTATTCCTTTTGTTTTCCCTTCCATTCAATCGTGTCCAAGTATTCACGTTCCTATACCCTTGAATTATTTTGTTTTAATCAGAACTGATCGTAATGGGTCGTCATATGAGCAGACGGTAATGCAACTTGATGGTAAACAATCGGCACCATGCCACCTATAGACACGCAAAACACCAGAAATTGGAAATCCCCAGCCACTATGAGCAAACATGGTGATTAATGCTCATTCTTCTCTGTGTGAGTTAAGGCCTTTTCTCAAGAGTAGGCCAGTTACAGGCAGATGATGAAATGATAATATGATATGATGGGCTCCAAACGAACACAAGCTTGACAACAGCCACCCGTTCCTTCTCCTGCTCTGAGCCGGGGCTGCGGTACCTTATTGCGCTTGCCCATAACCTCGGCTGAACATCGTACCTATTGGGCCCAATCTATGGTGTTCTATTGAAACTATGAGGCGCGCGCGAAGCGCCGATTCTAGTCGAGCGACGAGCTATCTTTGCTCGCCATCTGCGTGAAATGCCGCTTACGGTGGCCGGAAATCGTAGCTCGATTGCCCCCGACGCTGCGACGACTGCGGCGGCTCTTTAGTTCCCTCACGCGCTCCGCTCCTTCATTGCAAGCATCACTGCTTCGCAGAAAGAGGAGACAACTTCCTTCCTCTTGTAGATTACAAAAGAAACTGTTCCGTGCCGGAGTCAGACCCACGACACGTTACACAGAAGCCGGTGGTCTTGCTACCGCATTAACCGTGAAGTCAGCTCAACGAATAATATCGGTCATCTGTCGTGTTTTTTTTTTTTTTGTGATGGGAAAATCCGGCCCAGGGCCGGGCAGGAGAGAGTGTCAGACTCTTACTGACTAAAAACCCCCCTGTTCCTTCTCCTGCTCTATGCCGAGGTCGCGGTGCCTCATTGCGTTTACCCCGCAACCCCGGCTGAACATCAGCCCTTTAGGGCCCCGTCTGTGGTGGTCTAATGGCTCTTTCAGGCGCGCGCGTAACGCTACGCGCCGTACGCTCGGGCCTGGTTCTGGTCGGGCGGCGAGCTGCCCTTACTCGCCGACCGCAGGCCCGTGCTTACGGTGGCCGGAGATCGTCCCTTGATCCCCGACGCCCGTAGTGTCGCCAGTTGCGGCTGCTGGGGCGTGAGGAGGAGGATTGCTCCCTCACGCGGGCCGCCTCTCTCTTTGCGAGCGACGGCGTCCCAGTTCCTCTCACTCCGCACTATGGCCTCGACTAAGGCCGGGCGCGAGAGGTCGCCGCCGCCGATCACTTCCCTGAGGATACGGCAGTGCTCAGCCCAGGCAGGGCATACCGCTACCCACGGCACTACCGTATGCTCCACCGTATGTCATTCTGTCGTGTTGCGTTGTCGCAAAAGTTGAGTCGTATAACATGGGGAAAATGTTGTGTGACGGAAGACCCTGAAGAGAAAGACTCCGACTTGCACTAATCCAGAGCCAGTTGACTGGTGCTTGTATGAAGGAGATTATTTAGCACCAATGTGCAAAGCGGCCATTGTCTCTGGGTGAATGGTTTGGTCGTTCAGTGTACGCAACATCTTTTCGCCCGACATACAAAAAATGAACAGTGCGCGTTTTACTACAATGTGGTAATCTAAGAAACCGAAGAGAGAGAGAGAGGGAGAGAGGGAGAGAGAGAGAGAGAGAGAAAGAGAGAGAGAGAGAGAGAGAGAGAGAGAGAGAGAGAGAGAGAGAGAGAGAGAGAGAGAGAGAGAGAGAGAGAGAGAGAGAGAGAGAGACTATGAATATGAGGAGATCATGCTGTCAATTTAGTTCAAAGTTCTGGATTCAGAATCGAAATTTAGAATGAAATCTTACAGAATCACACTACAGCAAGGAAGACTAAAGCTCTCAGTCAAGTTTCAAACCCTTAAACGTTATTACATTTTTTACTTTACAATTCGTAAATACATCATAAATAATTAATAATAAAACATAATTTTTTGGCCCATTTTGGCCCACGAACCGTTGGTCAACATTATTTTTGACCCATTCACTCCAAAGGACATTTCATCCACGAACGTTTCGCCCACATAATTCTTCGTCAGTGAATGCTTAATCAATAGAATGTTTTGACCAATAACTTTTCACCCAAACAACAATTTGGCCAATGGACTGTTCCTCAAGAGAACTGTACGTCAGTGAGTGTTTAAATAACCTCTAGAAGCAATGATAGTCTAGGGATACGACCGTTGCACTACCAAGTCACCGTTCGTAGGTTCCAGTTCCGACACGCGCCAATATATTGAATTGATGTGAATTGCAGAAACCGGTAAAAGAACATCTTGTATGAAAAGTTTTTCGGACGAAAAAATAATGGGTCTAAAATAATGTGTCTAAAATAATGTTGACCAATCGACTGTTGGGAAAGCGTTTCAGTTTCATATTTTAAATGATGACTGACCTTGGTGGTCCCATTTCTTCTAAGTAGCCAAGCATTAATTATTTTGTAAGAAGGTACCAAAAAATACTGAGATAAGATCCGTTAAACTCAATCATGGCGGAACATTATTATAACTTGCGGTAAGAGATGCAGAGGCAAACTTACTTAAATACGGAGCTAAAAATTCTAAAAATATTATATGTAAATGAATAGCAATATGTGTTGACTAGTAAGGGCATAACCCAACAACGTCTGGACCAATTATATTTTGCCAATTATTTTTTGTTGTGTATTTTGAGAAGTTGGATTTCATTTAAGAAATGTTTAGAAAGACTCCTTTAGGATTTTTCCAAACAATTGGGAAAATAGGAACAAAGAAGTTGGATACCCACACGAAACAGTGGCAGGCCGCAAGTATTTAATGTTATTAAAATAAATAGTTTAATCTACTCTTTTACTTATTTACTGAACGTCTCGGATTAGAGACTGAACGCGACTTGTTTTGACAAATCCGACAACGGTATCCCTCTTCACTCGTTAACGTTGTCAATTTGACAATGTATAGAAAGTACGCGCGTATTTTTTTATATAAATTAACAAAATAAAAAAAATGTAATCAATATTAAGTATTTTAATAAAATAACACAAATGCCCAATAAACAAGGATTTTATAAAATCAACAGATAAAACAAATGATTTCTCCTGGTACATTTTAAGCTCTTCTACCTTCAAGCACGGGTGTCCAGAACAGTACCTACCTATGTAAATATAAACAAAATGGCATGTCCGTGTCAAGGTTCATTAACGAAAAAAGTTGTATTCCTTAATGATAAGGAAACTGATCTTAAGATATTGCATGACTTATTAGACGAAAAACTTATGGAATTTAAAAATAATAGATATTGTCATTTACAACCAGATTTGCAAGTCATTAACGAATTAAACTGTGCCCTGAAGAAACTCCAGTGTGCAGTTGATGCGACGCAAAAGCTAAATCAAGAAATGCGGGAGAGCAAAAACAATGAGTCGTGTGACAATTGTGAAGATACGAGGAAGAAAATATTTGAACAAATCCAAATGAAGTTAGATCGACTAAAAAATTGCTCAGGCCCATGTTTATGTGGCGAGAAGATCGATGATTTGGGTGAAATATTTCACGATGAACCCAAAGATACAAAGAGCCACTTAAATGAATCTGCACTAAACGATGGTTTTCGTTTAAATATATTCAAGAAAATCAAAAATAGGATGAGTATAAAAAATGATACAACGCGTCGCTCCAAGGAACTTGAATCAAATGACGACTTGAGCGATATTTCGTCATCATCTGAAATAATTGAAGATATAAGGCATCGCGCAAGGAAATCAGAAGTAAATAAAACTAGGAAATTATTTTCAAAAATTGAAATGGATGACAAATTCCCAGAGAAGATTAAAGAAAAAAAGCATCACATGAACGAATCTAAATCAAGTGATGATGTGAATAAATTATCAGCCAAGGAAACAAAAAGTAAGAAACGACTCTTTAAGAAATATTCATCAAGTATTGATGTGTATGGCAGATCCTCCAAGAAAACCAAAGAAAAAAAGCATCGCTTAAAAGAATCGAAGTCAGATGATGATGTAGATAAAGTACCAGCCAAGAAAACCAAAGAAAAAAAGCATCGCTTTAAAAAATCAAAATCAGATGATGATGTAGATAAAGTACCAGCTAAGAAAACCAAAGAAAAAAAACATCGCTTGAAAGAAACTAAGTCAGATGATGATGAGGATAAACTATCAGCCAAGAAAACCAAACATAAGAAACGATTATCTAAGGAACATTCATCCAAAAATAATGTAAAAGAAGTTTCCATCCCAAAAATCAAAGATGAAAGGAAACCGCCGAAGAAATTGAAAATAACTGACGAAGTAGCCAAAACTGAACCTAAAAGGCGGGAAAGCTTACGTAAAAGTATAACAAAGACATTAAAAGACACGAGGCGCCGTGTTAAAGAATTTAGTAAAAGAATTGATGAAGATAATGACAGTTATATCCGCGGTACCTCTAGCAGATTTACTAGTCCTACTGGATTTTGTGAAGAGATTATGAAGGGAGATCCTCCGTTCTGGATTCCTATGGGACCAAAATGTGAGAAGATACCCTTGCGAGTGAAATGTAAACATATAATGATAGCTTTGGCCATGGTGCTATCCTTACTGTTTTGGTCTCCGTGCTTATCATGTTTAGCATGCTGTTGTTGTTGTTTTTTTTATTCAAATTGTTGAACAATAAAACAATGTGCATTTTTTTATTTATGGTATTTATTTTGTCTTCTGTTACGTCGTTATTTTAGGTACTATGAGTACATACGTAAATCATAAAAAGACTTGTGAGTTATGGATATTTATATGCAGAATTCCTATTAAAAAGAACGATGTACGATGAGAACGTCATCTGTATGGAACAGAGTGAGCCATAAACTGCGATCAGCTAACGTACTGACTAATGGGTAACATGGTAAATGTTGGTGAGACCGAGAACCAGAACATATTCTAAGTTCAACCTCTTGATTGTCTATATATATATATATATATATATATATATATATATTTATATATATATATATATATTATGTCAGCTCGAAGTGATGCCACGGCCTCAGAGAAAACCGGCACGAAGCAACACTTACGTTGTGTTTAGCCGTGCGAGTGAGGTTACCGGAGGACCAATCCTTCCCCCTATCCTCATTCCTTAAATCCCTAATAACCCACAAGAGGAAATAATGACTATTAAGGCACTAAGAGACTGCACATCTGCCCAGTCGCCAAGCATGATGATAGTTTTATTAAAAACCAAGCAGGTCTTCTATGGAAACTGATGTTTTACTCCTGCTTTCAATAGGCAAGTATGGTAAAAACGCCATTTTAGTAGGTGAGTATAACCCTGCTAGCATTTTCCCACAGCTTTGCTGCCGCTAAATTCGTTGTAACACGGTCCCGTTCACGATTTAGAACCAGCGATATTCTGGACTTCTGTAACCGTCACCGAAACCATCGGATATCGGATATCCGAAAAAATTAAAAACCGCGAAAAGCCCCATTTAAAAAGTTTCTTGGTCTTGAGGGTACATATAATATACCAAGCCTTAACCTTCGGGTTTAAAATATATCTACAGTACTCTAGTTCAGTTTCGTATGCCACGTAGTCGCTCATGACCCCGAGGAACTTTGCTCAGGAAGACATAGCCAGCCAGCTTTAAGCGATATTGCTTTAAAACTTCTTATAATAAATCTTTTTTTATCATTGGTAGAAGAAAAAAGAAATGGAAATCTTTAATGCTTTTTAACTGTCAGTTTTGATAGCTTGTTTTTAAGTTTTTAAGATTTATTTACAATTTTATTAATTATTTAATAATATTAAGACATTTTAAAATATGTCCAATGGTTAATCTGTCGTCCTCGTGAATAAAAATCCATCGAATGTTGTTTAACTATCGAATGGGTAAACAATTGTTTGACATGTGAGAGTATGGATTTGCATAGATTACGAGTTGTGGAATTTAATACGTTGGTAAGTGAAAAAGAAGGCAGGAAGAAGTACACTGCAGAACTTGAAGAGCATAAGAAAAAACATAAAAGTAGTTTCGATGATAAGAAGTATGGAACAATTCAACCTGAAAATGATAGTAAATGTATGGAAGATAAAAACAGGGCTCAGAGAATACCTCAGAAAATTGTAGGTGACGGCGTAAACATAAAACATCTGATTGATAAAATAGGACCACCTGGGACATCAAAACAATGTCTAGCTGAAGACCAAGCTTCTAGGACACCAACGTCTAGAATTTCAAGTTTTATCAAACATAAATCAAAAAGTGAAATCTTCAGTATTCCTTCCAGATGTAAGTTATAATAAGTTTATTGGCTCAGAATTACACACATCGTAATAGGGTTTTTCAGAGTTACACAGTTATGTATACCTATATATTATATGAGACACGATCGTTCCGTTCCGCTGTGGCTTCGTCGGTGGTAGGTTGACACTTTCGATCACGTGGATGTCACCAGGCTGCTGAAGAATAACCTTCTTAAAGCAAAACCAGGGCGAGATGCAGCATTAGCTAGAGGTGCCCAACAACATCATAAGCGATCTACGTATTGTTTAAGAAGACCGACCCAGACGACGTGCCTGAATTCGTGGCGAAGGATTTGCACAAGCTGCCTCCCGACACTTTCGATCACGTGGATGTCACCAGGCTGACTGAGGCAAACACGCGTCGCGGGGCACAAGATTCCTGTGCAGCTTGGAGTCAACAGGCTTGAATGCGTAACCAGCTGCCGAGTACGCACGTGTTGTGACGTGTGCCACGACCGTCCCTGCCTCGACACCGGTGGAGACGACGAAGTGTGTGGATTCGACGACTCCCAATCGAGCTTACGCAGCAATTGTAGGCGCCGCTAAAAAGCTTCCTGAGCCACAAAACTCGCAGGTTAAAGTAGCAGATAAAGTGAAAGGGAGTACACGGAGCCTGTAAAAACCAAAACAGGTTCTGAAAAGGCAGTGCCCAGAGAAGGACACGGGCGACAGCAATGGTTTCATCAAGGTGGAGAAGAGGAAGAAAAGGAAAAAGCTTCCTTGTCGGAACCAGTGCAGTACTGCATTGGCAGGACCCAACATGTTATTGCGTCCAGCCGTACCGAAAATGCCGTCGTGCGTAGTGCGCGTTCCAAAACATCACCTCGAGAAGTGCCTCAAAAACGAGTTTTGGCCGAAAGATGTTACTTACCGCCGGTTTCGTGGCCAGCTACGTGACACCAGTCAGCGATCGACGCCGACACTTTGTGTACATTAGTTAAACAATAGTAAAATAAAAAAACTTATGTTTCATATGTCCTTAGGCATACCTTAAACTATCATAGAGATACATTCAATGCTTTATGTGACTTTAGGTACATGCCATTACTACAAATATAATTAGTATGTTTTATTTTCATACTATCTGATACCGAGCCACAAGTTGCAAAAACGTTCGCGAGCTATATTGACGCATCCCCCATATTTTTTTGCGAATAAGCTCATAAGTATTAGAAACAAAACCAAAAATTAAAACAATTGTTTTAAAACCCCCAAACTTTCTTTTTCCAGGTAAACCCAAAAAACGTGAACTCAAAAAGAATTCTAGTTTTATAGACGTACCCAAACTTAGTCAAGAAAACACGCATCCGCAAAATAAGAAGCGAACCCTTAATTTGTTCAACAGAAAGTCTAAGGAAGATCAGAAAAAAGGAGATAAGCATACGAAGAAAGTAAATAATGAAGAAGTACATTTTTTGTTTGCACGTGAAACACCCAGTTTTGTTCGAAATTGTAAAAAAAAGTCAGAGGAAGAAAGAAAGACTTCTAGAAAGAAACAGGATACAAAATTAAGGAACGATGTGTTCGGTTTTCAAAAAAATAATCGATATATTGATCCACATCTTTATCATATGTCTTGTAATTATTTAAATTTAGACAAACTACCCTTTAAGAAAATTACAAAAGGATTTAATCGAAAATCTAAACAATCAACACAGGCAACACCATGTAGTTGTAAACATCACGCAATGCGGGTACTGAATTCCAGTGGAAAGATTGAAACCCCTGCAATTTATTACAATTTAAATACTCATCATGCACGTCCACATCTCAGAAGACTCCATCATAGACACGATTCTTTTGACGACCATGGTATTATCACCAAGAATCGTTCGCGACGCATGGGCAAAGATAAGACTGTATGCGTTTCGCCTTCATCACTCAGCCCTCTAACTAGATGTCAATGTGACGCATGTATAGGCTCGAGTAAAGGCAACGTGCCTGATATTTTAAACAACCAAGATGTTTTATACGCCTGCAATAGTAACCCGGAGCTGTGTACTCCAAGCTCAAGTGTTGCTAGCACGCCCACCACACACATTACATCGCATGCCACTTGTAAAAAAAAGGGAATCAAGACGAATAAAAAAGTTTCCACCAGCAATAAACGTAACAGATTATTTTTAGGCTGTTTTCGGCGCTTCAAAGTCACTTTAACAAAGCTACCATCAGGAAAAAATTGTATGAAATATTTTTTTTTCGGACTGCTTATCGTGGTATGGTCTCCATGTTTGCTGGCAGTCATTCTGGCATGGGTAATAATGTGTCCTATAAAAGTCACAAGTTTAAAAGGTGATGCTTCCAAGAGATCATTTCCAATGATGAATTACTTTGAGAACAGATTTCGTAAGAAAGGGGTAGGATGTGAATTCCAACAAGAATGTGTAGATGATTGTTTGCCTCAAAGTAAAAGGAGTTTTATGACATCAGTGGCTGGTTGGTACTCACGCGCGTTTGGTACTTTTGTCAATTCCTTTAACGCACTGGTGTCTATGCTTAAACTTAAAAATAAACCGACGTGTGCTGGGTCGTCGTTTGTAGATTACAGAAATCCAAACCCAAAAAGGAAATATGCTTCGTTCTATGCAGAAAGTAGAGGAGGTATGATGAAACCGACAAGACGAAGTAATACGCGATTTGGTGCTAGCACACGAGTAGTGCAAAATATGCGATGTGAAATATTACCGACATTTTGGCCCAAATCTAACACTTGCAACAGAAAGTGGCAACCGAAGATAAAGTCGAATCATAAACCGTTTCTTGTCCCGTGTTCAGTGCATGGGGCTCAGTACAATCCCAGTTATGCAAGATATCAATCATCCCCAGCAGGGGATGCTGGTCCGATGATCAGAAAATCTGCATCGGGATGTACATGCGATAAATTATATTCACGAAACAGAATGTATCGAAATAAAATGATGCAAAGCTCTCCAGTGTTCATGCCAATGGTACCACAACGTCTTCAGACGCACCAGGTAAATATTTCACCGATATTTTTCCACCCGAATTCCGGTATCGAATATGATTCTGTTAATCAAACAGCAATTAATAATAACTATTATAATAATGTTAATGTCGATAATTCGCGAAAAGATTCTGCTAGAGATCATTTCAGTAACCGGAAATTCGGCACGCAGCCTCTCGGGGTTATATTTAACTGTGCATGTGGAACTAAACATCCTGTAATTACAAATATGGAAACATTAAGATCTCAAAAATTTGGTTTAGCTGGTAAAACACTAAATACATCAACAAAATATACACCCAGTGTGGTATTAAAAGGTTTGAAGGGACAGTTTGCTAAATGTTGGACTAAGCATGAAGCAACTAGTGCCATTAAGAAATCTTTTGGTCCTCACAAAATTGCTGCTTTAACTAATATAAAAAAAATTAAAACTTCAAAATGCATTCCAAATTCTCCTACGAACTGTTCACGAGATCGGAAAACTAATTGTGAATTAGATTTAAATCGTCTTTGTCGAAGAAATCACAAGCAGATCGTTATCGATAATCATTTACAGACATATAAAAAAGTACATCATACTCACAATAAGCGTGTCCTGGCAAACATTTCACCAACTAAAGTTACCAAAAATGCTTATACGAGTACATATAAAATTAATTTAGCTCATAAAACACAAAATACATTGCAAAACGTTAAAGGTAATTTTCCAAATAAAATATTTGCTGAGATGTCTCAAACTGAATGGAATTGTCCTTGTGCTGCTAAAAAAGAAAAGGCAAAACAAAAAAATAGTTTGCTTGCAGCAGATAACCAAGCAAATTCAAGTATAAAGTGCCATTGCAAAGGTAAAAAGACAGAAGAAAAGAAGTTAACACCCAATCAAACCATTAAAACAAATAAGAGACAGTCTGACTCAGTTAATATTCCTGTTGCTACCAATACTGGTACAACTGAAAACTGTCCTATGAAATGCAAAAAACAGGGACCTTGCAATAAGACTGTTCAAAAGCAAAAAATCATTGATTATGATACAAAACCAAGTCCTAAACAGGACAAATCTTTAAATTGTACTTGCGGAGTCAAACGAAAGGAATCGGAACAACCAATTGAAGTAGCAAAAAAGGTAGAAATTGTACCTTTAAATTGTACTTGCTGCCCCAAGTTAAGCAAAGTTGATAAAAACACATCATGCCCTAAACTTCCCCACACAGCTAATAAATCGACAATAATAACTCAAGAACCAAGAACAACTAAAAGAGACAAGCTCATACAAAATCCCTCAGGGCATATAGAAATGGAAACTGAAAAAGCTATTAAGAAAACTGAATGTGATGGTGAAAAGAAAATTAATAAATCCCAAATTAATAAATCCCCAGTTCAACCTAAAGGACTGATATCTCAGTGTCACTGCAAAAATGATGAAACCAATGCAAAAAAATCTGTTTCAACTAAAGACTCTACGGAATGTGCTTGTGAATCGGAAGAAAAATTAAAGACCAAGAAGGACGAAAAAAACATCAAGACAGAAGAAGGTTTAAAATCACAGACAGACGACCATGCCTGCTGTGCCAGGTGTTGTGGTAAACCTCTATCACCCAACAGAAGTATCAATTTATCCTCAACTCAACAAAAAAGTTCTTCTAATGATATTAGCACTGCGACACCCTCTCTTGATAAAGAAATAAAATCTGACTGGCCCCAGAAAAATAAGAAAATTAATTGCGTAGAAGTTCAAACCCCGATAGTCAATAATAATCTAAATTCTCGATTATTTTTCAAAACATGCTCTTTAGGCGTTGCAACAGAGATAATTGGATCGACATTTCAATCAAGTGCTTCCAAAGAACAGTCTATAAAAAACGGTAAAGCTGAAACTTTTGTTAATAGGCATCCTTACGATAAACCGCAAAAGGATATCGGTGTAGGAAACGGTTGTTATAAAACATCACAAAGTCAGAATTTTGCAATGTCAAAATATTTGTCTCCTCGACAAGTGACAGCGATTCAAACAAATTTGGAAATTGATCAATGTATACAAACGGTAAATAATAGATTAGTAGAATCTAATCAAACATTATTATCTCAACAGACACCCCATGAGATTTTTTCATTTTATACTAATGTTGCAAATAAAGCAGAACAAACAAATAAGCAAGAAACAACCCCACAAGGTCACAAATGTCAGATGAATAAAATATCTACTTATTTGTGTTCACCCGTTAAACCGCAAGTTCTAAGTAGAAAAATACAAATACCATCGAACGACAAAATAAGTCAAACTACAGCAACTAAACGAGTGTCATCAGCGGTTAAGTCTATAGAAATACAATACCAATGTGATAATGGTTCACTTTCAGCAAGTTATTCACATCAAAGGGAACCGCTGTTCGCCAATGGGATCCGTAAAAATAATGTAACAAAAAATGGTTCATCTGTTAGGTGCCCAAGCAGAAAAATACTTCAAGAATTAAAATATCCTTTAAGCCAAGCAATAAATTCACAAACAGTCGACAACCACCCAATTAGTGTTACGTCTAATTCTAAGTGTGAGTTAACATCCAGAGAATCGATGGTAAAACACTTTGAGCCAAGTTCAATGAAAGAACAAACTATTGACAAGAAAAGCTCTCAAGTTCTTAAGACTAGTGCAATGAATGGGGAAACTGAAATAACACAAACCGAATTGTCAAAAATATTCGGAGTATCGTCTGCCTGTGTCAGTAGTGAAATCAAATCAAATGTATGTAAAAAAACTAAAGACATAGGTATACTACTAGAGTCGCACAATCACATGCGAACCAAAAGTTCTCAAAATAATGTTATATCTGCTCATCAGTCAGATTCTATAATGTACCCTCATGCGACTAAAATTAACAATTATGTTCAACAAACTTCTGGGTTTGATTTAACATCTGACTGTGTTTCTAAAAATGGATCCATTGTTCAGGCAGAAAAGAAAAGCTTCTTGAGTGCACTATCTTCTAAACCAATGATTAGCACATATCGAACACAGTCTAGCATTATACAAAAAAGTCCACACGAGTTTTTACTTTCTTGTGATGATTCTACAACAAGAGTTAAATTTTCTCAGAAGCCTTCTGAAGTTTCACACTACACTAAAACTAAATGTAGATTAACAGATAAATTTAGAAAGAAGACATCTAAAACTAACCAAGTTCCATCTAAAACTCAAAAGCCTAAATTAAAACAAACATTGAGAACACAGACGTCTTCAACTCTGAAAAGCTCTAAAAAAAAATCAGGCTCTCGTACTAAAACGGGTAAGAAATCATCTAGTAGAAAAAGTTCAAGTTCGTCTGAGAGTGGAGTTAAACCTCATAACAAAAGTGAATGCAAGTGTGTAAGTAAGGAGACATTGAAAAAAATATCCCAGGGTGTTTTGATTCACACTGAGTGTAAATGTCAATCAGATCGAAGCGAGACCGTTGAGAAGCGTTCTCGGAAGTCCATTTTTGGGGATAAATGCTTTAAATTTGGTAATAAAAAGCTCGAAACTAAACGAGCACATAAGTCAGCATCACCAAAACAAAACTCTTTTGAAAAAAACCAATACGCAAAGCAAACATCACCACCGTCATCACCAAAATCAAAACAAAAGTCTGTTGATAAAAAAACTACCCGCAAACGACCGTCAACGACGTCACAACTTAAATCAAAACAGAAAGCTGATAAAAAACTTGTATCCAAACGATCATCGCACTCATCAACCTTATCACAACAAAAGTCTGTTCAAAAGAAGCACCCAAGTCCTAAGCCATCACTGTCAAAATCAAAACAAAAATCTAGTGATAAGAAATTCGTAAGCAAACCACCATCACCATCATCAAAGAAATCAAAACAAAAGACTGTAGATAAAAAAGCCGTCACTAAACAACCACCGTCCACTCCAACACAATCAAAGTCAAAACATTCTGTTGAGAAAAAATCTGTCACCAAACGCCCGAAACCCTCATTATCATCAGTAAAATCAAAACAAAAGTCGGTCGACAAAAAAAGAGTCATTAAATCATCTCCCCCACCATCACCATCAAAACCAAAACACAAGTCTGTCGATAAAAAACCCGTGTCTAAACAACCCTCACCACCAAAATCAAAAGAATCCGTCGAGAAAGAATACGACTCCAGCCAGCCTTGTTTACCACCATCACCGAAACCAAAAAAACATATACATACAAAAGAGTGTAGCAAAGAAACATGCATATCATCATCGCCCCCACCAAAACATAAGTCTGTTAGAAAAAAATCTCCCAAACGACCATCGCCGGTACCTTCACCACCAATATCAATACAAAAGGATGATGATGAAGAATACGACCCAAATCAACCTTGTCTGCCATCATTACCAAAACCAGGAAAAGAAAAGCACGTACCGAGAAAAAAGTCACAACCACTTTTCTTACCCTTACCTAAGTCTGACTTTAACTTAAGTGCTAGCCATGTAACACCATTAACACTAAATCGTAAGAATGAATTTTCTTGTGTTCGTGACAAAATTAACGAAAGTCCTCCTTTATCGTGTCAAAGCTCTAGAACGTCAATTTGTCCGTCTTCTTCAAATGTATTATCAAAATATTTTGGTAAATTCCGTTCTAAACTGTTAAGTAACACGTTAAGTAAATTAATAACAAAAAAAACGAATAGCAAATGTGCAACTAAATGTTCAAGTGAATATTTTGATCCGCTCCAGTTAAATATTAAAAATAATCTTTGCTCGGTTATTATATCGGCCTCACAATTTAAACTAGCTACAAGGCATAAGCCTCGAGAAGGAAGAAATAATTTGTTACAACATTTAATTTCATCTCGGTTGGAGAGTCATAATGAAACGTTTTCATCAAATTTAAGGCATACGCAATGTAGTTGCCCAATTGAAGACCCGTGGTTACTGGCAGTTGACGAAAATTCATTAAAGTCACAAAAATCAAATGTTAGTTCATCGGGACGTAGCAAAATACCTAAAACAGCAAAGAATCCTGCCTTACTAATATATTCTGGTCACAGTACACACAGTAGTTGTTTCTGCCAGATCAACAGAACATCTTCAAGGAAAGTAACAGAAAATTCACGTTGCACACGGAAACCTCTAAGTGTACATAAATCTTATTCATGTTTATCAACACGTAGTTTAGGTCGGTCATCAAAATCGTCCCAACGTTCATCTTTTTCAACTAATTTTAGTACAGAATGTCGTTGTATGAAAGACAATTTCTCTTCAAGACATTTTAAAAACATTTCCTCAAGTAAACGAATAGCTAGTGGTGCGTCAAGATTTCGAGTTGAGTGTTTAAATGATCACGATCCTAGTGATAATGTTGTATCTTTAGGATCACAAAAAGAATCTCCCATTCAAATCCCATTCAAAAATAAATCACAAACCAAATTGCAAAGTATTCCGTGTCAACAGCATGGAGTAACTCAATTTTCATCTATATTTCATCGCTCTCAAGATACAGTTTCGGGGCAAAAAATCGGTAATATTCAAAGATCATCTGAAAACTTTGATCAAAAAAAACAAAGTGTAATGACTACATTCCCGTCAGAAAATTTTACTGAGAGCATGTTTGCAACACCACCTGATGAGATTGCACAACGACCATCATATAACGACGAAGAAGATGACTCTCGGCCTACAATTACGAAATATATTGTACCTAGACCTTATTATCCTCCCGATGCGACACATCCGATCGTACCAACAATTCCAGGTTCGTGCAGATGTGCAGTGAAAGAACGACTTAGACGGGCTCAACTTTTGAGTAATGCTTCAAGTTTAAGTAATCCTTCACGTTTAAGTAATTTTTCGTATAGAATGGAATCTAATAGCTATTTATGTCCGCAAAGTATAAAGACACAAATTCCTTCTCGTTCTCCTGATAACTGTAAACGACCAGCAGTTACAAATCAAACAATGACGTCTAAGAAGCACCATAAGCATTGTCATGATCATGAGCATATCACGTCTAACAAACCTTTATCTAATCGTCATCGATCCGTTCAATTGAGTGAGGGTCTAAGTAAAGACAGTGATCAATTATTGATTCACGCAAACGAAGAAACACTTTCTCAAACTGTTCAAACAGCATCAATTCATTCAGATAAGTGTGATTGTTGTCCTGGGAAGCTACAAAGCAAAATATCCTCAAATTCACAAAAACATGAAAAACCTATTTGCAGAAAATTATCAGTATCTAAAATGTCACCTAATTTATCACGTGACGGCTCGAAACAAATGCTTTTAAAATCTTCGACAGACATTGTGAGATATTCGGACCCTTCAGAAAAAGCCGACCTGTGTCCTCATTCTCAGCATTCTGTAACTGTACCGTCACAAAATTATAAATACGGTCAACATGGCCTTTCATCTAAATTTACATCACCTCCCTCGGATAAAACCGTTATTGGAACTAACATTGTTGTAAAGTCAAATGTACGTAAACAGTACGCAAATGCCAAACATATTCAATCTTCAGGCACACGAGTAGCCTCCCAACAAACTGACTCAGCTTGTCAATATGAAGACAAAAACCTATCTATAAATTTAGATAAAAATGGAAAACTGGTATCTAATTTATCATTATTATCTGTTCTATCTAAGCGCCAAAGTACACATAAATTTCAGTCTCAGTCAAAACAAGACAAATATCACAAATCACAGCAAACGCAGCGAACACCGAGACACGACAAATCCGTGAGTGTTAGACAAGAATACCCAAAAAAACAAAAGTCAGTTGGTTCACAAAAAAATAAAGGTACTCAATCTCCTAAAAGAACTGATGGTAAAATAACTGTGAATTTCCAAAAATCTTATCTGCTTTCGGATGTTTGTTCAAATAAAAAAAGACGGCACAAAAGATTCCACGAAAATTCATACAGCAGAGGTTTACGCGATAACTTCTTTGGGAAACAACGTTTTATAGTTCAAAGGTCCGAAATAGCTCAAAGCCAGAAGACCGAGCCAAATGAACAAACACCACTTAGTCAGCAATTTGGACCAAGCCAAGAAATTCAACTCGATACACAAAGTCTTAAAAAACAGAGTGGTAACTTAAGTCCTCAAAAGAAAATAAGCCCTATAAAGAATATTCAAAACAGCTTAAAACAAACTCTTTTCCCAAAAAAATCCGTATTAAAAAAGACTTCTTGTATTTGTCCACCTGAAGAAACACCAATAGAAGAGCGAAAGTCATACGCAGGAGAAGGGCAAGTCATACGCAAAAGTACAGATGGCGGCGCCGTGCAACCTAAAAAACAGTCTGTTATACCGCAATCACCGTTTCCAGACTTTAACCGAGTATCGCTGCGCTATATTGATGAAAGGCCTCCTCCAATACCTGTTACGCCACCACCTAATTATGATCGATTACCTTGTTATGCCATTCCAGCTAATAAATGTGGGCCTCGAACTTGTTTCGATGAGTTTGCGCTTAGGCAAGCATATAAACGTCGTCCATTACGAGTTATAATGGACGACGTTGGCACTGGCGTTGTCAGTAGTTATGGTGCTGGTTCTTTCCCTAACGCTAGTCCTGTTGCTGGCGCTGGTCCTTTCCCTGGCGCTGGTCCTTTCCCTGGCGCTGGTCCTTTTCCTGGTGCTGGTTCTTACCCTGGTGCTGCTCCTTTCCCTGGTTCAGCTCCTTTCCCTGGTGCTGGTTCTTTACCTGGTGCTGCTCCTTTCCCTGGAGCAGCTCCTTTCCCTGGTGCTGGTTCTTTCCCTGCTGCAGGTCCTGCGCCGGGAGCTGGTCTTGGCCCTGGTGCTGGTCCCGGCCCTGGCCCTGTTCCTATAACTAGCGCTATACCTGGAACTGGCCCTGTGCGTGGTGGACCTTACTCTGGCCCTGGTGCTGTTCCCGGCGTTGATCGTGCTCCTGGCGCTAGTCCTGCACCTGGTGCTCGTCCGTTTCCTCCAGGTGCTGGCACCGGCCCTAGTGCTGGCCCTGGCCCTAGCACTGGTGCTAAGCCTGGTCCTGGAGCTGGTACTATTTATGGTGAAGGCGTTGGTCCTGGCCCTCCTACGGGCACTCGCCCTGCCGTTGACTATGATACCCGCGCTGGCGTGCGTCCTGCTCCCCGACCTGGTCCTGACTACGATGCCCGCGCTGGCGTGCGTCCTGCTCCCCGACCTGGCCCTGACTACGATGCTCACGCTGGCCTGCGTCCTGGTCCCCGAACTGGCCCTGACTACAATGTCCACGCAGGCCTGCAACCTGGTCCCCGACCTGGGCCTGACTACGACACCCGCGCTGGCCAGCGTCCTAGGCCCCGACCTGGCCCTGATTCTGACGCTCGCGCTGCCCCTCATGTTGTAGCTCGTGCTGATCCTTTCCATGGTAATACAGTTGAAGCGGATTTGCGTTATGTAGGACGACCTTCAACACAACAACAGTATCAAGGTCTCCAAAAAAGAAAGAATAAGAGAGTAATTGCACAGAAGGAAAAAGATAAATATTTATTACCTCCTCCTCCTCTCTCTGCATATGAACCTAAAAGCAAAGCAGCTAAAATTAAATACAAAATAAAAAAAGCTAAATACGATACAGTTCAAAACTATCGGTGTATTATTGATCTCATCAATAATTCTGAGAAGGAAGCATGGCCTAATAAAGTTTCCTGTCGTCCCATGTACATACATGCCCTGAAGCGCAGGCCTTGTTTTTGGATTCACAAGACCTGTCCATCTTTCTATCCAATTTTCTTAAGTTTAGTTAAATGTCAACAAAGTTGTTGCCAAACGGCAATGTATGGTCTTGCTATATGCTTGTGGTGTCCACTTTTTATATGTTGTTATTCATGTTTAGGTTTAGTATGCAGATAGCATAATTAAACTTATTTACAATCGACTCTGTTACTTTTTTATTTTTAGCTAACATGTATAGACTGCTGTTCAACACGGTTGTCCATACCACTAATTGGTGCAGTAATTTAAACTTTACGACAAGTTCCTCGTTATCATCGTATGGTCATCAGACCGCTTGTTTTGTGGTGGCGTGCCCAGCTTGGGCTGGCCACCCACCGTGTCCTCAGTGAAGTAATCGGCAGCGGTGACCCATCGCGCCCCGCCTTATGGTGCGAAGCGAAAGAAACTGGGAACCCGTTTCCTCTTTCCGCGAAGCAGACATCAACAGGGCGTCAGAGATTGCGCGACAGTATCCGGTCATCGTAAACGCGGGTCTGGCGTCGGCGCTCCGCGCGAGCGTCAAGGAGCCAACATACCACCATAGATGGGCCCCAATAGGGCTGTTGCTCAGCCGGGGTTGAGGGTCAAGCGCAATAATGTACCGCAGCCTCAGCCTGGAGTAGGAGAAGGAATGGGGTCGGAGCCTGACATTCCTTCTCACCCTACGCAGAGTGGGAGAAGTTTCCTGTGACGATTCCCGATCACACGAAAAAATTAAATTTAACTCGTAATTGTAGGCACGGAATTTAACAGAGCCGATATTCTATTCGGCAAAGGAAATAATCATGAGGTACGTTGACACGATTTTTAAACAGTGGCTGCGGCTCCTTCTTTCTATTCTACATATGAAAGGTATTCAGGGAATTTAAGTTGGGTACCACCACTAAAATAAGTTCCCATGTGGAGTGAAATAGACGCAGCATAATATAAGAAATAATAGTAGAAAAACAACTAAAATAAAAACTCAAACATTCCCAATATGCTAACTAAATCAATATTTCACGTGCTGGCTCACTAGGTAATGCAGCCCAGTCCAAATCCAGTCCTAGACCACATCCAGTCCCAGTGCCAGTTCCAGTCCCGATCCCAGTCCCAGTCCCAGTCCAAGACCCAGTCCCAGACCCTTTAACTCGTATGTACAATATTCAAACTAAAGAAGTTTCTTAAAAAAAATTCCTTAGCATGTCTGTCGTCGGCAAACCAAATGAATATAAAAACATTGCATTAAGTCAAGCAAAATAAAAATCTGCCAAAAAGCAAAGGGGCTTACCTTAATCTATACAATCACCTCACTTCAACCTTCATTACCAACGAAACTGTAGGCCCACCATGAAGTGTTAAAGCGTGGAGTTAAAGGATGGGAGCTATACGCCTATTATATCTCCATCCCCCTTTCTCGCCCGGAAGATTCACGTTTTAACACGTCATAGTAGGCCTCTGATACTTGTTCTGTTCTTAAAATTTTTCTGGTAAAATAAAACCAAGTGTTTCTTTGTCCACAAAACAATTACTTCTGTTTCCTAAATATAAGGATATGCTTTAAGTTCCGGATGTTTGTTCCACTTACAAGAACGACATACACTGCGTCGAATTATACATCTTTAAGTTAAATATTTAACGCAAAATTGCAAGTAACAGCAAATTTAATCAAACCAACAAGTTCGGCAGATACACGAAACTTTGCGTATTCCTGAAAGAGATAAATGTTTGATGCTCGTTAAATTTAATAATTTGTAGCCTGCTAGGACTGCACTTCTAGACAAATTTGAAATTTTAAACCAACTTATTTAACTTAAAGTTTTCCAATTGAAACTTCGCTTGAAAAGTCCAAACTGACTATTATTTTAAAAGGCTATTATTAAAAAAGTTTGTATTAATCATATCCTGAACAAGACACAAGTAGAAAAACAACCTAATGGATTGTTACAGCGGCGATACTCATCAAGACGGGGACAAAGGAGGTCAGCAGGCGGTGAAATGCAACATAATACCCGGTCTGCTAAACGGCAGTTGCCATATCCACACCTGAACGTAATAACAATGCGCTACTCTGGTTATAAAACTCCTCATAAACAATCAGATAAATACTGTTGCACATCGCCACGTGGACATACACCACCACAAAATTACGATCGGTTACATACACCACCACAAAATTACGATCGGTTACCGTGTTATGCTATTCCAGCCAATAAATGCTCACCACGGTCTTGTTTTGATGAGATTGGCACTCGACCCGCGTATAAACGTCGTCCTTTACAAGTTGTAACGGACAACGTTGGCACTGGCACTGGCCATAGCGTTGGTACTGTCGCCGGTCATAGTACTAGCGCTGGGCCTTGCCCTTGCTCTAGATTTGGCCCTGGCTCTAAGGGTGGTGCAGGTGCAGGTACTCGTACTGGCATTGGTGCAGGTACTCGTACTGGCATTGGTGCTGGCTATGGTGCTGGCCCAAGCACCGGTGCTAAGTGTAGCGCTGGCCCAAGCACCGGTGCTAAGTGTGGCGCTGGCCCAAGCACCGATGCTAAGTGTGGCGCGGGCCCTAGCGTCGGTCGTAGACACGGCTCTTGTCCTTGCCCTTGTTCTGATGCCAGCGCTGGCCCTGGTTATAGTGCTGGCCATCGTGATGGTGCTGGCCATGGTGATGGTGCTGGCCATGGTGATGACGGTAGCCCTGGCGATAGTGCTGGCCCTGGCCCTGGTGATGGTGATGGTGATGGTATTGGCGATGGTACTGGCTCTGGCCCTATTGTTAGCTTTGCCCCTGGTACTCAAGGTGTTTCTGGCGCCCGCCAAAGCTCTCGCGCTCGCCGTGGCCATCATGCTCGTGCTGGGAGTGGCAAACGCGTGCGTCCTGGCTATGGAAATATCAATAACGCTGGCGCTGGCGTAAAAGCTGACGTTAAATGTGATGTTGACGCTGACGTTAGCGCAAGTGCTGGAGTTGGCCACACTACCACTTCAACACGAAAGCAGTTGCAGGGTCATAAGAAAAGAAACACTGATAAGAAAGAAGTACCAAAACAAAGAAAAGACAAACATTTATCTCCTTCTTCTTCTCATTCTCATTCAACAACTCGTACACCTCCTAAACATCAGCCTTCTAAAAACAAAGTAGATCAAGTTAAGAATAGAGTTGCTAAAGCTAAATACGATGCAGTACGAAGCTATCACTGTATTATTGATGCAGTCAGAAAATCTGACAAACTGGCATGGCCAAGTCAAGTTTCTTGTGATAATTTATATGTAAATATCCTGAAGCGTAGACCATGTTTCTGGATTTACCGCTACTGTCCAGCATTTTACCCTATATTCTTAAATTTACTTAAATTTGGACGAAACTTACGCGATATAGTAACGTATTGTTGTGCTATGATTTTGTGGTGTCCACTGTTTTTATGTCTCTATGTATGTTGTGGTTTGGTGTGCAAACTATCATAATTAAACGTGTTTACAATACACTTTGATACGTTTTTATTTTTACATTAAAAACATGTTATAGCTAAAGTTCAACATAGCACCTCATGACGATTAATAGGGTACTTTCCTAGGTCAAAAATAAATTAATTTGACGTTTCAATACAATAAAATATTTTAAAAAAAATCTATGTCGTCATAACTCAGTGTTTCATACAAATTTCATAGAAAAGTAGATATAGTTTTTGACATTAGGATAAAAGTATTGAATTTGACTAGTTGGAAACTACCGTATTGTAGGGTATAGTCACCAATGATGGACAACCATCGACTTCTTAATCGTCTTTTTTCTAGAACTATGAGTGCTTTTCAATTGACATTATTTGAAAAAGTACCATTTTGGGTTTGTTCCATGATGGCTAAATAGCCACTACATCCTAACACTAATGTTGTAAATGAGAAAGTATGGATGAATGTTTGTCTATTTGTTTGAAACTTGGTATGTAGATGGGGGATTAGCACATAAACTGCTTTTTATCAACTTATCATGCGGTTGAAGCTGCGGGCAGAAACTAGTACCATTATAATTTTATAAACGATTATAAGGTAGTCAAGTAGACACTGTTTGGTGGTATATCATGCGTAAAATAATTCCTTGAGATAAGGAAATAGACAGAATATTACATATTTTTTTGCTTTACATAAACCGCAACTCACGCCAATCACACAGTGTGATGGCGGTATAGTTTAGTCTAGATATGTCTTGCGTCGATAATATTCAGACGGGTCCCAAGTGACCCTCGACTAGACGCGTGGCTAAGGCCATCGACTACTAATACCCTTACACCGACGTCCACAATCCCAAGGTCACGAGCCCATTTAAGAAGGGCGTGCGCTTCATACCGCGCTCTGACGTCGAGTACAGGGCCATCATCTATGCTTACCTCGAAAAGAGCTAGGGAGTCGTCTGGTTCTCGCACTCACTCCCCTGCGGAGCGCAGCATAAAGGTAGCCATCAGGGGACTGCCAATTGAGATCCCACCGGCGGTGATACAAAAAGCACTTGAGCCATATCCGTTGATCAACTACACCCAGATCTCATCGAGAACTCCGTACCGGGCATACTCGGAGTCACAGAGCGCCTTAGAGGCGGTAAGCAAAGCTCCACTCAATACCATCGTACCACCACAGCTGGCACTCCTAACGAGCTAACGTTAGGGTGAACTTAGTAGTTCACCCTAACGTTAGCTCGTTAGCCGTGGTCAGCCATCGGCGTCGCTGGAGTAGTTTCCAGCGACGCTGATGGCCACGGCTAACGTCCCATGTTCCAAGCGCCGAAAGAGGTGCTGGAAAAGGAAAGCAAAGCAAGCAAACCCTGCTGCCCGTCTCCCACCGTTAACAACAGCAGTATTACTTCTACTGCTGCTGCCTACCAGAAGAGCAAGACCGCCGTGTTCGCTGCCATCCTGGACGTAGGACGAAAGCGAAGCGGCTGACCGCGTCTCCACCGGCCCCGCTGCCGGAGAAGGCACAGCTCATCTCTGTTTACGGCCGCATTCTGTAGGGAATTGTGACGGAACCTGTATCGACCCAGAGCCGCTGCTCCTCGACGCAATTAAAAATCTGAACTGCAATAGATCACCGGCAGAGTCGTTAACGGGAAAGCCAACGGGATGGCCCCCGACGAAACCAGGTTCTGGAAGTTGTTGCTAGACCAGCGTTCGCGATCTACAAGCCGCCGCGTTAATTGACTTGCAGTGGCTGACGTATACAGCCTATTGAACTCGCCGCTGCTCATGATCATAGCCGGTAACTTTAACCTAAAACACACGGCGTGGAACTCGAACTCCGACTACGCAAGTGGCAGCCACCACACCTGGGAGATGCTCTGAAATTGAGGAGATACGAGAAACGGCAGTTTTGTAGCGGTGAACATGCAGACCTGTGTTTTTGTGGGGTTGTAAAGAAGTTTCGATTTCAGATACAAGCTTGTTTCGACTCTCGATGACGTTTACCGAGAAATGTTAGCACGGCCGGTGTAATAGGCATCACTCATGCTGTCATCCGCATAACAACGAATGCCACTGATTTGCAACATATTATTAATGTGGAGGAGGAATATGGTGGGCGATAGCACGCAGCCTTGAGGCCACCAGCGTTCACAGACATAGCATTCACACAGTCATAGCATTCACTGTCTACAAGGTAGACAATCCGAAGGAAGGAAAACCCATAAGAAGGAAGCTCCGAAAGAAGCACTTTATGCCAAACCCGATCGAGGGCGTCCTACGTTCAAACTTCCCCCTTGGACTAGATCGCCTGTGCCTAACGGTGTGTCAGATAAACTAGAAGATTACCTAGGAGCGACCCTTACAGAAACCGTACGGTCAGTCACTAAGAAGCCGATGATTTTCCTAGTACCGAAGGAGCTGGCAATTAATAAATAATTTATTCCATTATTTTCGAGGAGAGGGAAGTTATTGCTATCTGGCTGAAATTTTTTCTATGCTAATTGGATTGATTTGTACGATCATCTTTTTGTAGAGGGGCTGAAAAAGCGTGTTAAGACCGGAGCTGGAGCGCACATCTTCAACACAATGGGTGGAACGAAAAGTTTCATCTTCAACATTACATAAGCAACAGAGTCAGCAGCGGTATTGGGATCATCCTGCGAGAAGCAAACAAGTCTTCAAGGGTAGGATGCAAAAACGGATCTTATGCCATCCCAATCTGCCAACCTGCAGCGCCGTACTCGGCGACCGCGAGCAATTTGGACTCGCGGCGAGCAGTCACCATACGATGAGGCAATAGTCTGATGAGCCAATAGGAGCAGCGTCTAATATGTAGCCGTCCTGATGAGAGGTCAGTAGAAGGTCCAACAGTGAAGGCGTCTATGCCTCCAGATCTGGCATTCACGTGGGCACGTCAACCAATTGCATTAGGCCAGAAGCAAGGGCAATGTCTCTCCGCGTGGTGGGTATTAAAATCAGTAGCATGACTTCCGCTAAGGAAGTCACAAGTACCTGCACAAATTTACAGCCATCTGGATGTGTCACAATGACTCGTTCAGCCTGCTTTCTCCGTTATGGGGCCTATAAACGCACGCGTACACACGACGACCACACGTAGTCTTAAGATGGAAAGGTCTCTTCAAGATTTCTGAGGCGACGAGAGCTGATATTGTTCCTCACTCACCTCACTGGACATCCTGCTGCATCAAAAATATATTTATTTTCAATTAGCCATTCATCCCTACCCTATCCTTCCTACTGAATGAAAATCGGGAGGTCCATATACAAACCCAAACCTAGTGAGCAAAACCCTCCACGGAGCACTCGTAAAAGTCGCTAATAATCGCCATCGCTGCTGAAACAGCTGTGTCACTTTTTGAAAGCTTTACTCATGAACGCTCATGCATATTTATTTACTCTTATTAATTCATAGTCGGCAGCGCAATGTCGACGCTACATACACGCTTTAGATAGTTTGAGAACTTTTCATAATTGACTTAATTTTCGGTTGCTTTGTAGCACCCGAAAATTGGTATAAAACATCATATTTATTTTAGGGGGCTAGTAACAACCACTTTTTGTCAGAAAAGTTACGAGGTATATTATAGGGTTAGTCTATTGTTATACAATACTAAAACCCCGCACGATTATTACTGCTAGAGAAGTATCCTTGTATTGTAACCTCAACCAGAAGAATTAAACCCTCACAACCATCCGAATCATTCTAAATATATATTGATGTCAGATTGCCCTTACTGACTAAAGACCCACTCGTTCCTTCTCCTCATTTACCTTATTCTCTCTCGTCGGTACCTTATTGTGCTTGCCCCACAACCTCGGCTGAACATCGGCCCTCTAGGGCCCAGTGGTGGGCTCTTTGAAGCGCGCGCCGTACGCTCGGGTCTGGTAGCTGCCGTCCGTAGACAAGCGTTTACGGTGGCCGTAGATCGTTGTTCGATCCCCGAAGCCTGGAAGGTCGCCTACTGCGACGACTGGGGTGTGGGGAGGATAGTTCCCATACGCGTTGCGCCTCCTTTGGGAGGATCACAACTTCGCCGAAAGAGAAGACGGGTTCCAGTTTCTCTGGGTCCACACCATGTCTTTGACTAAGGCCGGGCGCGAGGGGTCACCGCTGCTGACCACTTTCCTGAGGACATGGTGGTGCTCAGCTTAAGGGTGCAGTTCCATTGGGGTAGAGCGGAGCTGTGTCGCGATTAACCAATCACATGTAGATGATGACATCGCATCACGCTCCACCTCAATGGAACTGCACACTTAAGCTGAGCACCACCATGTGGTGAGAGATGTGGATTTCAAGCCATGTGATTGGTGAACGCGGCACAGGTCTTCTCCACTTTGCTCCGATGCGCTTAAATTGAACTGCACCCTAAGCAGGATACACGCCCATCGTATGCTCCACCGTGACCTCCGGGACATCGAGCGTTTCCTCCAGCTGGATCCGAAACAGGTACCTTTTTTATGATATATGAATGAGATGAATAGATCGGCAAATGAGCAGACGGATTACCTGATGGTAAGTAATCAGCGCCGCCCATGGACACCCGCAACGGAGGAGTTACGAGTGCGTTGCCGACCTTTTAGGGATTAGGGATTTGGAGATTTAGGGATTGATATGGATTATAGACCTACCGAAGCTTTCGAGTTCCGGTAAGCACGTGCGTCACGTGGAAGGTGAGAACGCCATGACCCTTGGTCGGCAGACGTTGCCACACATTAAATTGGCAACAGCGTGCAAACAGATCTCAAGGCGGAAATATATATGTATATGTATTGGTCTATGATCCGAATTCAGTATGCCTCAAGTTTATTTTTGAGTTGTCTTTAAGTGTAGTCAGTAGATATTCCATCATGTCATATTACCTGGTTTCTAATAAAAAGGATGAAAAATGTAATTGAATCCTAATAAGAAAACCACAATGCATAAAAACTGAACTAAACACTAGCGGTCTTATTAATAAAGTTCGGTTACTCACTTGCTTACCACTTTGATAGCTATTCATTACCAATAAACAATGCTTATACCTTGAATTACTATTTATTCCTTATATTGCTGATTGCTAGCAACATTGATGAAGCGTTCTGAAACTTCTGAACAGAAACACTTCTTGACAATATTCTTGTATTTTTATAATTAGGTATTTGATTAGACTAATCAATAAAATACTTGACTTTTTAAAACAAAAAGAAGGTTTAAGGTATTTAATTTAGTTTTAAAATATTAATTTATCAATTATTTGCGAATAATTTTTGATAAAATTTTGATATTTTGAATGTACCTAATCAATGTCAAATACGTATTTGACACAAATTAGAGTCGTGGCATTAGAATTATATTTCGATAATCCAATTAGGCACTGAAAATATTCGTAACAGCTTTTTATAATAGGTGTTATACCTATTACTGAATAACAACCTAATATTAAGGCAGCTGATCTTATATTCCTTTACCTATAATTGACACATTATCACCATGTCAACTAATTTTAAAACGTCACAATCTCCTTCAAAATTTCGGGTTGTATCGCCATCATACCCCATCTTCTGGTTAGTCAACTGCCAGTCAGCTGGTTCTGACCAGTAGACATGTGAAATTAGTTTATCCTTATATATCAATGAACGAAAAAAATAAGTATTACAAATATTGTATTCGTAATACGTATCTGTATCTATTACGGATATTTCGTTACACTTCTATGCGTATTAATTTTTGTTCTATGTTTGATGTTGTGAATATTAATATGTTCTTACATACAATAATATTTAAGGAATTATTGATTTAAGGAATAATATTCAAGGATTATGTTTGTTTGGAAACAGTAATGCGATAGTTGTTTTGCCTTTTCAGGAATAACAACCTGGTTGAACCTATATCAAGCAATTATTGGGTATCGACAAAATTAAAAATACTGACACCGGATGTTTGATTTTATTAAATATGCCTTGTTCAAGCAATCATATTTCTAAAGCTTAGAATACAGAACATACAGTAACAAATTCTGTGAAATGCGACTCGACTTGCTAATACATTCCATGAATATCAGCTGCATCGGCTTGATCTTTTTGTCGTGGAAAGGCATAGCTCTAGAGCTATATAGACATGGATTTCTGCTGGGAGACCGTCCCCTTAGTCCTTTGCTGTATATCATGTCATAACAAATCCACAACTTCCATAATATGTTCCTTTGAAAATCTATATTTTCTTATAAACTCTGCACCTTCTAATGAAAACATCATCATAAGGATCATTGCGAAATTCATTTTCTTTCTTTTTTGATGGTTTTATGCGTCTGACAGTTTAAACACGAAAATGATCGCTTATTCACACGTTATACTATATAGGTCCACGGGCTGAATAAGTCTTGTCTAACATTTCATACAATTTTGACAGTGGTTATTACAGCTGTATTGACTATGTGCGCGGCGATGGCGACGCGTAGCGTAAATATAAATAAAACTAAAGATTAAAATATTATTGATGACATTATTTAGGTGCAATTTATTCAATAGTTTTACTGCAAAATGAATATAATAATAAAAACCGATAGCTGATCGTCCGCATTTGTTTTCAATTTCTGCGGTGTTGTGCTCTGCGATCGTTATGTGTCCGCCACTACTCGCTTTGATGATGAGTCTGATATACCTCTGATAAAAGATGTGTGTAAATATTTATTAGTAAGGGGGTAGAAGTACTCCCCACATAAAGGCCGGCAACGCACCTGGGACTTCTCTGCTGATGTGTGTGATCCATGCGCGGATCACTAACTATCAGGCGATCCGTCGGCTCGTTGGCCTACTATTCCATTTAAAAAAAAAAAAAAACAAAAATACAAATTATAGCCTGATTCTAATAAATAAACAGCCCAACCGGGCTCCACTCCACCACCGTCGGCATTGGATCCAGATACATGGCATACCACCGACGACTGCAGTGGTGGCGTGTTCCACTGACAGACTCTACTCCCCGCCCACGTCACTACCACCTCCACGCCGGCCACTAAGTAGCTTAGGACCACGAAGCCTTAGAAGTGGTCCCACTGTCCGGTGGCAGTGTGTCGCGAATGAAATGGTCAACTTCTTATATGAGAATGCTATACGTGCGTGCATACTTTGGGATAACAGAGGGAGGAAATAACCTGACTGCGTATGTCACATTGTATTGGGATCGAACTATCATCACTGATAGGATAGCCAACAAACCTGACATTGTGATGATAGATCGATTAAGCCGTCGCACAATGATAATAGACATAACAATCAATCTCATGACGAGAATCTTGTGAAAGTTGGAAAAGACAAAGCAAGTAAATATCTTGATTTAGCTCATGAGATTGTCGACATGTGAGATGTAGACTCAGCCATCATTGTCCCATCTCATGGCTAAAAGCCTCGATAAACACCTAAGCAGGTTTATGTTAGATGGTTGGGTTAACTTAATTCAGAAAGCGGTACTTCACGTGGGACACTAGACGTGTCCGGAGATACCTTTTATTTTAATTACTGTATATGACTAAAGGAGTAATAACACCGAGTCGCATTAAGGTTAACAATACTAGTGTTACAAAGATCGATAGGTATCGACTTCCTTGCAGGCTCAATTATATACACGGCTTGCTCTAATCAGCTAAGAGTTTTGTCCATACGTTTCTCTGGAGCCCTGACCACCGGTTGCTGAGAACCCTCCTTTTACCGGACGCATACTTCGCTTTTTATATCTTTAAATGTTTCTTTAGAAGATATTAAAAATGTGTCAACCAAATCAAGGAAAGTTGGAAAGTTACATTTACTTTTTCTTTTTTCCTTTTTTGCTTGCTTGACGTTCAAAAGTGCCTACTGTGGTCTAATTGAAATAAATGATTTTTGACTTTTTATAACTTTAAATTGGTGTTTATCACTGATTTTCCATTTTTCTGAAGTTGTGAGTATGTAATATTTGAAAATATGCAAAAAAGTTATAGGATATGTCACTCTTACTAACAAATTTTGTACAATATTCTATGAACTATTTAGTATTTTTTTTCTTGAAGGGCGACCGAGTCTCCATTGATTTATCGACTATACTGCTAAAGCATGGACGTATAGTCTTAGTGCCAAAGTCAGTCTGTATCACAGACCTACAATTTGTATTGACGCGTGACAATGAATGACATTGACACTGACAGGAAATTTGATGTTACTCATGTTACTGTGGTTTTATAAAAATAATACTTCTATTTCGTTTTAACATTTAAATTCGGTGAAATACTTTATTTACTGTATCTTGGATTCACATTCTTCTTTTGACCTAGATATCAATTGTTGGTGAATAAATGTATCGTAATTTAAATTAAATATCTAGGTTACAAGTTTGCATGACGCTTTATAGTAAACTTTAAATACCAAAGCAACCAGTGGTGTCTTTACCATGCAAACCGAAGAGAAACGTTCGAAACAAGTGGTTGATTTGGCTTCTTTAGAGCCGAATACAAGAGTTAAGCAGTTGGCGAACTATGGTGCAATGGTTGATGTAGACCCGAACGTTCCACCTAGAAGGTGAGTGGAGGCGCTGCATCAGGGTAGTCCGCGTAACTTATGTTTACCTTTTCAGTGTCATTAGAAGTTTTGCAGGCTACCTTGAAACTTCGCTTGTATATTGAGATGGTTGAAAACGAAAACCAAGACCAAATATGATATTTAAGGAAAATAAATGTTTACCTAATACTAGAATAAAGATTATAGATACCCTAATAGTATTTAAGGTTACTAAGTACCACACTGGCTAGACCAAGGTAAAGTCTATAGAATTATTGTTATTCTTTTTTTCATTATAACATTCACATTGTGGAATGCAATAAATATATTGAGTATTGATAACATTAGCCAGGCAACATGCTAGGGCAGTTCTTGAAGAGCTTTGGTATTCTTTATATTCAGGACTCTGTAATTTTGTTTTTTAAATCATCATACAATTTAAATTAATAATAATTAATTAAACCAGATTTGTGGAACTTAGGAATAATTATTGTTGAAGTATTCATGCAATTTTGAACTTGAGTTTTAAAAAGACCATTTCCATCCAGTAAGAATGAGTTGTATGCAAATAGAGTTTCCCAAATTAATTTATCTAATTACTAATTAACATTTTATCTTAGGCTATTAGATAATATATAATAATTAATTAAATCCCAAGCAGTGCCAACATTTGTGCACCTATTAGAATTCTACTCAGTCTTAAATTACCACAGTTGAAAGGTTAATTACTGTTTCAGGTATTACAGATCAGGCTTGGAAATGGTCAGAATGGCAAATGTTTATTTAACGGAAGGAAGTCTTGAAAATGCTTATATTCTGTATATAAAGTTCATGACATTATTTCTGGAGAAGATTCGCAAGCACCCTGAGTATGCAGCAGTACCAACCTCCGTGAAGGCTGTTAATCAAGCTAAACTGAAGGAAGTCATGCCTAAAGCTGAAAAACTGAAACAAAAGCTTCTTGATCAATATGCTAAAGAGCATGCTCTCTATCAGGAACAGGTAGATGTCCATTAAGATATTTACATATTTAAATTATAGCATATAATTCATTGGATTCTCTTGTAGTTCATAGCTACTTTGAAAAGGTTAGGGTTTTAAATGTTTAAACTTTTCCCAAGTTTGTACCCATGTAATAAGAGCAAGCCCCGAAAAGCTTAAGTATTTTCTAACTGGCTGCTGCGCAACATATCGCGGCTTCGATTCCCGCAAGGAACAATTATTTGTGTAATCTACATATTGTTGTTCCGGGTCTGATGTGTATGTGAAATTGTATGTTTGTAAAATGCACCCACGGTGCAGTAGAAAATCCTAGTGTAAAGTCATCAAAAAAGCAGGAAACAAAAAAATATCATACTAATAATATAAACGCGAAAGTTTCTTATAAATTATGTATGGAAGGATGTTTAAAACTTTTTATGCAAAAGCTACTGAACGAATACGAATGCAATTCGCCATGCTCTACTTTTTATCCTAGTATTGTGAGTGACTCCACTGGCAGAAACTAGTATAACATCACAAATATATTCATTGTTTAATATGTGATTTATTGGGATTAGGAAAAGAAGCGTGCAGCAGCAGAAGAAGAAAGGAGAAAGCAAGAACGTGAAGACGCCAAACTGGCCGAACGCCTTCAAGCTGATGAGAACAAAAAGGATGCGCACACAGCTACACCACACTTGATGCATGCTGTATGTATCACTTGCAAAAGTTGCAAGTTTAATGAAATATATTTTCTTAATATCATTAGTTATTTACAAACAAAAATTTTCATGTCAAAATGTACTCCAAACGAGTTTAATGAGTATGTCATGTAACTATTTACCGATTTAAGTCGACTAATTTCAAGCCACAGTTGGGGTCCATAGTTCTTATTTGCACGACACTTGAATGTAGGATCATGCCTAATTATTTCTGCTGCATGGGTGCCCAGCAACCTCGCTAACGAAGAAAGTCTTACGAAAGTTTTGAAATTAACAAAAAATTGCCAATTTTGCAACCTTTCTAAAATTTCTTCCATAAGAATTTTCTCGTGACAACGAGAAGGATAAAAAAAAAGTTGCGATATTGATGGACAGGCGTTGAATGGCGGGTACTTACTCATTTTGTGATTATTCTTTATTTATATATCTTCTTCTTCTTTGTACTTAAAAATATTGTGTCACGTGTTTGTCCGCGATGGACTCCTAAACTGCTAAACCGATTTTAAAATTGATTTGCATTCCATGTGCATTTTGATCCAACTTGAAAGATAGGATAGCTCTCATCTCAATTTATAGTCACAATATTATTTACCTTAGTTACAGCAACCAGTGGCTGGGTCTGCTATAATATACAATGAAACAATGAATTTATTTTTGCAAATAGGCCATAAAACGCCACTTTTACACGTCAAATTATATGTGAAAAACTAGATGAAGCCATGAAGCAATATATGTAATGTAACAGGTGTATATATATGTATATGCTTATATGTTGCAAGTTATAATAACATTGAGATTATATAAAATCGAATAGGTTCACAAAAGCTGAAAGGAAAAATGCTTGTTTAATCAGAGGGATTTTAACTCTCTCAGAAAGGAGATAAGATTATGTTTTGAATAGTGTAATCAATTAGAACTGGTACACCATGATGCACGGTGACGTCTGAATGCGACAATCATGGCATGCGTCATAAATAAGATAGAGTAATCTAAACCATACGGTACGGTAAATCAAAAGATGAGGTCTATGAATTTGCCCAAAATGGTTTTAATGTAGTGTCTAATTGGCTTCGTAATAATCTCCTAACATTGAATTCAGATAAAACAAATTACATGTTATTTTCAATGAGAAATGCCCACATATCCACTACTAACCTAAACATTTATGCACATAATTGTCATACGAGTACGACCGCTGACACAGCATGCGCTTGCCCTACATTAGTAAAGACTGACTATATAAAATATCTAGGTGTTACTATTGATGCGAATCTCAATTTCCGAAAACATATTGATTTATTATGCACTAGAGTACGAAAATTAATTTATGTCTTTAAATACTTGCGCAACATTGCAGACTTTACCTTGATACGCCAGGTGTATATGGCTTTGTGTCAATCCATTCTTACTTACTGTATTAACTCATGGGGTGGTGCTCCAAAAACTATTCTCTTGCCCCTAGAACGTGCTCAAAGAGCAATCCTGAAGGTCGCCACCTTTCGTCCTTTCAGATTTCCTACTCACCAGCTATACAGGGAATGCAAACTACTGACAGTACGCCAGTTATTCATCCTTAACATAGTACTACTGCAGCATACTGAAATTGGTTTTAGCCCGGTACTTTCCGGCAAAAGAAATGATTTAGTTTGCACTAACCCTCAGACGAAACATGCTTTTACTAACAGATTTTATTTATTTCTAGGACCTTATTTATATAACAAACTCAATAGGCTGCTAAAAATGTATAGTGTAAGTTTAAATAAGTGTAAAATAATGCTAACAGAATATTTACAGTCCCTCAATTACTCAGATACGGAAAAATTGCTAGAAGTATTAAAATAAAGTACTTATTTTTAGTAAATTACTTACATATTAACTAGTATGATGTTATTTTTGTTTAATAATTTAGGCCAGGTTGTCCTTGCTTAGTCTTACATTATGAAATACGATAATTATTTATTATTATATCCATTGAATTATTTTTTTTTTGCATTGATAGCCTGAAACACAGGTTTAAATAAACCTAGTTCGGGTAGTCCCTAATATTTAGACTAAGAACGTTATTTCCTCACATATGTATTGTATTAGACTAGATTAAGTTAACTATTACGATTGTTATTATTAAGACTTTTTATTACTATAAAATCTGAGCCATCTGTAATTGTAAACGTGTTCAATGTTTTTAATAAAAATTTATTTATTTATTTATTTACTTGATTTCGGTTACACCTGATAAACCCATGAATCAGCGGGTGATTAGATAATGTTTATGTATAATATTTGATGAAGTTACTAGTATTGTTTTATTAGTAAATACGAAGTTGTCGCGTCAAGTGTCTAGCGTTTAATAACCTTCTTGTGAAGACTGCATGATGATGTTGAGTAGTGTAGACTACATGCTAGGAATAACGCAGGAACAATGGGCGGTGTCGCCGTCAGTGCCCACGATGGACGGCGTGCGCTACCCTGATGACTTCGCGAACGAGCCGCCGCGAGCACCGTCGCATCACTACCAGCCGGTGCCGCCGCTCATCCCTCCGTCGCGACCACAAGCGTAAGTACTGTATTGCCAAGTGTAACCATGGCCTCACAGAAAATCGACGTGAAACAACCACAGCGTTGTTTCGCCGTGTGAGTGAGGTCGGCCACGCACTCGTAACTGCTCTGTTGTAGCGGGCGTCCATGGGCGGCACTGATTGCTTACCAGCAGGTAATCCGCCGTTTGCTTATTTACCGACATGTCACCGATATTGCAAAGTTATGGTTGTAATGTAGTAATCGTAATGTTTGTTTGTCCAGTGGCAGCGCGAGCGTGGAGACGTTGTTCGGCGCGGCGCGGCTGCGCACGGTGGTGGTGCCGGCCGGCCTGCTGGCGCGCTTCCTGCGCCTCGCCGCCTCCAACACCGCGCGCAACGTCGAGACCTGCGGCATCCTCGCCGGCATACTGGTCAGCCAATGCTCATTCTTCTCAACAATTTGACCAAAATACCAATGTCATTATTCTCAAACCAAAGTTAACGATTCTGTCGATTGAAATACAAATAATGAGTTGATTAAATTCAATCGCACCATTGCTTACAAGTAATAGATCAAAATATTGACAATAATAATAATATTTTTATAATGCCTAGGAATAGGGTAGCGTACCTTGTGATCAAACTCACCAAGAGGTATAACCTAAAGGTCATCCAAGTGTACGCACCTACCTCGACATACTCGGATGATGAGGTAGAGGAATTGTATGAAGACATTTCCAGGGCCTTACACACCACCCAAAAGGCCCATTTCAACGTTGTCATGGGAGACTTCAATGCTAAAGTGGGAGTACAGACTAGCGGCGAGTCGGTAGTAGGACCACATGGTTTTGGAAGCAGGAACCATAGGGGGCAAATGCTCGTTAACTTCCTGGAAAAAGAGGGGCTATTTTTGATGAACTCCTTCTTTAAGAAGCAGCCCCAACGGAAGTGGACGTGGCGGAGCCCCGACGCTATGACAAAAAATGAAATAGACTTCATTATGACGGACAAGAGACGAATATTTAGAGATGTCTCAGTGATCAATAGGTTTAATACCGGAAGTGATCACCGACTTGTGCGAGGCACTCTAAACATCAAATATGACTCCGAGCGTGTCCGTCTCATGAAGTCTACGCTCCGACCAAACTTGCTCCAAGCCGTGGTTGGGTCTGAAACATTTCAGTTAAAACTGGAAAACCGATTTGCTGCCTTGGAAACCACAAATGACATTGATATCGACCAGGAACTTGACCAAACAGTAGGGATCCTCCGAGACGAAGGGACGAGATTATGGCGGAAGCAGAATACCGGCAGGGGCGCCGAGCTTTCGGGAGAGTGCCTACAGGTTATGGAGAGACGACGTAACAACCCATCAGTCGCTTCGTCAGATCTTAATAAAAAGATCTCAAAGCTGATAAGACGTGATCTCCGAAGCGCCAATACTCGCGCTATAAAAGAAGCGATTGAGCGAAACCGGGGGTCAAAAGTCTTCAGCCAGCAATTAAATCGAAGCCATCTGACGAAGTTGACCACACCGGATGGTAATATCGTCTCTTCTAAGCCGGAAATTCTCGAGGAGGTTCGGCGCTTCTACGGTGATCTGTACACCTCAAAAGCACCGCGTCCATATCGAGACTCGGGGGATCCTAGGGCCACACTTATCCGCCACTTTACCGAAGACATGCCAGAGATCAGCCAAGACGAGATTGCGTTGGCTTTGAAGCAGCTTAAAAATGGAAAAGCCCCCGGAGAGGATGGAATTACAACGGAGCTAATGCATTAAAAAGTTGAAAAATAATCAATAATTAAGTTAGTCGAGTAGCACACATCAGTACGAGAGCCAACTCAATGTTAGGGCAGTAGGAAATTCTTCGCTATTAAACAAAGTAGCAGCTAATGAAGTAAAAGTCGGTAAATTGGGTACTTATAGCAGTTATTTCGCCAAAGAAGTTTACACTGAACTCCCTACAATAGCTGCAGATAAGACTTTAATTCCTAGGCATTCATCATCATCAGCCTGTTGTCGTCCACTGCTGGACATAGGCCTCCCCAATTGCACGCCACTGAGCTCGATGTTCAGCTCTTCTCATCCAACCACTGCCAGCCACCCTGCGGATGTCGTCAGTCCACCTAGCTGGAGGGCGCCCTACACTACGTTTGCCTAGACGTGGTCTCCACTCTAGAACACGTTTACTCCATCGGTCATCGGTTCTTCGACAGATGTGACCTGCCCACTGCCACTTAAGTTTGCTAATCCTTTGGGCTATGTCGATAACCTTAGTTCTCTGTCGGATCACCTCGTTTCGAATACGATCCTTCAGAGAGACTCCAAGCATAGCCCTTTCCATAGCTCGCTGAGCGACTTTAAATTGGTGGATCAGTCGCACTGTAAGTGTCCACGTCTCGGCTCCGTATGTCATCACTGGTAGGACGCACTCATTGAAGACTTTTGTCTTCAGGCTTTGCGGTATCTTTGACGAGAATACCCGACTGAGTTTCCTATACGCTGCCCAGCCAAGCTGTATCCTCCTACGAGCCTCCCTCTCGAAGTTGTTTCTACCGAACTGGATAGTTTGCCCGAGGTAGACGTACTCTTGAACAACCTCGAGAGGAGATCCATTGATGGTGATCGGCTCCGGGAGAACATGTTCATTGAACATGACCTTCGTTTTTTGTAGGTTCATCCGGAGTCCGATGCGAGCAGAGGAATCAGCCAGGCTGTTCAGCATATATTGTAAGTCCTGCACGGTTTCAGCCACGATTACAATGTCATCTGCAAATCTCAAGTGTGAGAGATACTTGCCGTTAATATTTAGGCCCCGGCCTTTCCAGCGCAGCGTCTTGAACATATCCTCCAAAGCATTAGTAAACAGTTTGGGGGAAATAACGTCCCCCTGTCTTACGCCCCGATGCAGGTGGATAGGTTCAGACTGCTGGTTCTGTACTTGAACGACCATAGTGGCAGCATCATATAGATCTCTCAACACTTGAACATACCGCCAGTCGACTTGGCACCGTTGCAAGGACTCCAGAACAGCCCAGGTTTCGACAGTATCAAAGGCTTTCTCGTAGTCCACAAACGCCAGGCATAAGGGCAGATTATACTCTTCGGTTTTCTGTACAATCTGCCTCACTGTATGTATGTGGTCCACGGTACCATATCCCCCTCGGAACCCGGCCTGCTCAGGGGGCTGAAACTCGTCGAGTCTTCGCGCGAGACGATTTGTTATGACCCTGGAAAACAGCTTATAGACGTGGCTCAGAAGAGAAATAGGTCGGTAGTTCTTCAGAAGGGTTTTGTCTCCCTTTTTAAAGAACATAATGACGACACTTTTGCCCCACGCCCTTGGAGTTCTCCCCGAGAATAGAACGGAATCAAACAAGCGTTTAAGTCGCTCAAGCACTGGCTTTCCACCGGCCTTTAGGAGCTCCGTTGTAATTCCATCCTCTCCGGGGGCTTTTCCATTTTTAAGCTGCTTCAAAGCCAACGCAATCTCGTCTTGGCTGATCTCTGGCATGTCTTCGGTAAAGTGGCGGATAAGTGTGGCCCTAGGATCCCCCGAGTCTCGATATGGACGCGGTGTCGAAATGTTGAAATAACGGAATCAATCAATAAGAACATGCAGGTACCTTCTCTTCATAGAAATAAATCTATTTCAAACAGACCACCACCTCATCATCATCATAATAATGTCTCGTTCGTGCAATCCCTATCGGAGAAGCAGGTACACGGCGAAAATAATTTGGTGGTGCAAAGTACGAAACGACTAGAGGACGATTTCGTGATTTCGAAAAGTACCTACGCTGAGGCCAAGCATAACACTAACACTAATAAGTCAGACGTAAACTCACAAACAATCAATGATAATATTAATGAATGGACGTTGGTACAAAGAAAGCGGAACAGAAATAAATTCATTGGCAAAAAAGGGACGGCAAGTGTTACGTCGGAATGCAAGTTCAAGGCCGCTAATATAAACATACCTTTCTACATTTATAAGGTAAGCAAAGACTGCGCCTCGACAGATATAACCGAATACATTAAGAGTAAGACGGGGACTGACGTTTGTTTAGAAAAAATAAATATGAAGTTAAGTAAAGATTACGAGGCGTATAAATTCATGATTCCCAAAGATAAATTATCAATTTTTATGAATGAAGATTTGTGGCCAAGTGGTATATCTTTTCGCAGATATTATGTTAATTTTAATAAAAAGTGGAATACAAGTGCTAATTATCAATCGAGTGATATAAAAACTGTACAAAAATAATGGATGTGGACATTACGGACCCCTCAACATTAATTAGTTTCAACTGTAAGTCTTTTAAAAGGTCATTTGAATGTGTTAAAATGTTAAGTTGTAATGCTGACGTGATAGGCCTACAAGAGACTTGGTTACAACCTAGTGAAATACCGTTGTTAGGCGAAGTAAACAAAGATTTTAGTTTCTTTGGTAAGTCGGCGATAGACACAGGTGTAATGTTACAAGGACGCCCGTACGGAGGCGTGGCCTTGCTGTGGCGGAATACAACATTTGACTCAGTTACTGTGATTCCTTGTAGTAGTGATCGTCTTGTTGCTATTGAAGTCCATATGTCGGATCGGTCTAGTTTGATTGTGAACGTATACATGCCAACCGATGCACCCGACAATTTGTTAGATTTCGTTGACTGCTTAAGTGAGATTGCGGCCATAGTAGAAAGTGGTGATACTGAAAATGTATATATAATGGGAGATTTTAATGCGCACCCAGGGGAACTTTTTGGAAAAGAAATGTTGAACTTTTGCTCAGAACAAAACTGGTTCTGTGCTGATTTAATTAAATTGGGGACTGATTCTTATACCTTTATAAGTGATGTACATGGTAGCCGACGGTGGCTAGACCACTGTTTGGTTTCTGAGGCTGCATGGAAGACTATAACATCTGTTCAGGTACATTATGATATATACTGGTCAGATCACTTCCCGCTAGAGGTACAATGTAATTTGATGAGAGCCACTCCAAAGTCAACCGCGTCTCATCGTTGTCAAATAAATAAAGTGTCATGGGGTGAACGTAATTTATGTCAGATCGAGTTGTATACTAAGGAATGTAACTCTAAATTAAAACAAATTGACTTCCCTACTGAATTAAGGCATTGTTGTGATAATATGTGTAATAATAAGGAACATATGTTAGTAATAGATGATTTGTACAGCAAAATTATTTCATCGCTACGCGAGGCTGCCGAGTCCAGTTATAATGGTCACTGTAGGGGGTATAGCGGAAAGGGGCGACCCATCCTGGGGTGGAATAAGTATGTGAAGGACGCTCACCGAAGCGCTAGGCAAAAGTTTGCAAACTGGGTTTGGCATGGAAAACCATATACAGGACATAGTTACGTTGAAATGGTTGAGTCACGTAAGATTTTCAAACAAAAACTTAAGTTTTGTCAAAATAAACAAGACCAGATCAAAATGGATATACTAGCTTCAAAACACGAAAAGAAAGACTTCCGTGGGTTTTGGAAACATACCAAGAAATTAAATCCTAAGCCTGGTACTCCGGTTAGCGTCGACGGGGTAGGTACGCCGCGGGAGATCGCGAATATGTTCATGCAGCATTTTAGATTACAACCACCTCCAAAACCGGATGTAAATGGTGTCGTTGCTGAGGCTGGTGTGCCGGAGGTGCCTGCTCGTATTACGGCTAAACAAGTATGTTTAATAATTAAAAATATGAGGCGAGGAAAATCACCGGGGCATGACAGCCTTAGCGTCGAACATTTTGTGCATGCCGGACACCATCTCCCGCGACTGCTTGCATTATTTTTTACATTTTGTATTCGCCACTCCTACCTGCCCGCAGAGTTGATGAGGACGGTGGTCGTGCCAATACCGAAAAATAAAACTGGTGACGTCAGTGACAAGAATAATTACAGACCGATCTCGTTAGCGACAATTGCGGCTAAAGTACTTGACAGCGTATTTGAGGAACAACTTAGGAAACACTTCAAAATACATGATGCTCAGTTCGGCTTTAGGCCACAGCTATCAACTGAATGTGCTGTGTTGTCCCTCAAACATACTGTCGGGTATTACACGGAGAGGAATACCCCGGTTTATGCGGCCTTTCTTGACCTCTCCAGGGCATTTGACCTTGTTAGGTATGACTTGTTGTGGAATAAGATGCGTGAAGCGGGTGTGCCTGGCGCCATAACGAGTATGTTTCGGTATTGGTACGGTCATCAAACGAATCAGGTTAGATGGGCCAACGAATTGTCTGAGGAGTACAGGTTGGAGTGCGGGGTAAGGCAGGGGGGGTTGACCTCGCCAGCGCTCTTCAGCCTGTACGTAAATCAGCTGATTGCCGAGCTCGGCAGTACACATGTCGGCTGTTCTATTGACGGTCTTTTTGTCAATAGTATTAGTTATGCGGACGACATGGTACTGCTGAGTCCCTCAGTCGGTGCACTCAGGCGGTTATTGGCGGTCTGTGAGGCTTATGCAGAAAAACACGGACTTGTGTATAATGTACAGAAAAGCAAATTGTTAGTTTTCAAAGTGAGACACAAAAAGCCAGCCCACGTACCGCCAGTTACGATGAACGGTGTGGCCCTTGAGAGGGCTTTAAACTTTAAGTACCTAGGGCACATAGTGACTGAGTCTTTGAAAGATGACGATGACATGGAAAGAGAGCGGAGGGCGTTGGCTGTCCGATGCAATATGTTGTCCCGCAGGTTTGCACGTTGTACACCAAAAGTGAAATTAACGCTTTTTAAGGCATTCTGCCAGTCTTTGTACACGTGCACCCTGTGGGTTCGGTATACGCAGCGGGCATACAACGCCCTCAAAGTTCAGTATAACAACGCCTTCAGGATGTTGTTGGGGCTCCCACGTTACTGCAGTGCATCAGGAATGTTTGCTGACGCACATATTGATGGTTTTAAAGCCATCATAAGAAAGCGAGTAGCGTCCATGATGCGCAGAGTGCGTGGGAGCGGCAACAGCATTCTGAGGGTCATCAGTGATAAGCCGAGTTGCGCCATTTTGGCACACTGGATGCATGTACACGTTCATGTACCTGGTGTGTCGAATGTACGCAGCAGATATTTGAATTAAGGTCTTTCTGTATTTTATTTTTCACTAACATAGTTTTTAAGGTGTGTGAGTACTAACATAATATGGACTACGGTCTGAATTAAAGTTATTTTATTTTATTTTTTTTTTTATTAGTATTGAAAAATAATAACAAAAACATTATTTGTTTATACTACTTAACATTTAGGTTTCAAAGTTAATTGTACCAAGTTTCGATTCAAGCGTCTATTAGTGAAAATGCATATGACTATAAAGTCGAAGTATATCTACACACATACAAAATGTATTGCATAAAGATGTAAAAAACATACTTCATAATTTCGCATAAAAATAAAAAAGAAAACATCTTAATATCTGTATTCGTCTAGCGAATTTCCAAAATGTGTATGTATGCTATTTAAAACTCAACGTGACAATATACAAAACTCGATTTTGACAAATCGAAAATAAAAATCCAATTATTCATTTAAATATAACGTAATGCAATAGTAATGACGTCATGTTTGACCTTGTAGGAACGCGACCAGCTGAAGATAACGCACGTGATAGTGCCCAAGCAGACTGGGACGCCAGACTCGTGCAGCACCAACAATGAGGAGGAGATCTTCCACTACCAGGACCAACAGAATCTCATTACTTTGGGATGGATACATGTGAGTTTACAGTTACGTTATCTTTTATACAGTTGTTGCCCGTATATAGGAATCGTATACCCGATAGTCAACTAAACCTAATAATTATTTATTTATTTATTATAAGGTAGGCTCACAGCTTATGTATACAAAGAGGTTTAAGTAAGTAAGTATTGGTTATAGGCAGTAGGTCATATACATTAGTCAGTTACGAGCTAACTAACATTCTAAAAATTATTCGTTGATACAGCCAAAATATATAGAAATTAAGGTGATTTATTATGATGTTAAAATTAATGTTTTTCCGCTTAAAGTAACTATGAGAAATAAGTATGTCCGTTCAATCTATAAACGAGGAGTAATTATGTAGTAAAACCGGTCAATCTTGTTTAGAATACAAAAAATATATGTTTTTGTCATTTCTAAAATAATATAATTATATAAAAATTGGACTAAGTATTTGAAAATATTACTGGTAGGTATAGTATAATTAAAGTAAAATAAATTAATTTCAGTGCCACGTTCGTTTCGGCAGCTCATGCATGATATTAAGTGACTTCAATTAACCTCTCGCCTCGTATATGGGACACAATAGTAAATACATTGTGTCTGCTTTTTGTGGGAAGAAAATCAATCAATCAATCTCGCTCAATGTGAGAGAGAGTGGCAGACTTTTCTTTTACTCAAAGCTACTCCGTTACTTCTCATGCTTTAGGTCGAGGCCGTGTTACTTTATCGCTTTCTTCTCGAAAATCTGGCTGATTATGTCTTTCGTAGAAGTTTTGGCATACCAGGGAATCAGGAGTTGTTTTTAAACAGCAATAGATTTTGTTTACTATTCTGGGTCACATCAATTGGTCACGAATACTAGGAGTCTTTTATCAATGTTTTGAAACACATGTGTATATAAAAACGTTCTCTCATATGTGTATGACTCATTTACTACTTATCTTTATATCAACATATCGGCCTATCGCGTCAAAATGTTCCCAATAGTAAAGATTAACGGCTTGTTCAACATTCTTATCGTGAATGTTGTTTTTATCATTATATAATTATGTACAATGGAATAATAGAACTAGAAAATGTATACTTAATCAATTTATTATCAAACTTTTCTTTAAAATTTCCGTTATTCTATAGATAGAGATTTCTTGTGTTTTTTAACAATTAACATGTTTGTATATATTCCTATTAAGGTTAACATTCTCGGTTGTATGCAACTGTCCGGTACCTTTGTCTATACAATCATTAGCAACAAGAAACGTAATGTTTAGTTTTATGTCTATTCGAAAACAAACCAACCAGTTGAAACAAGAATGAGGTGCTTGTTGTAAAGAGTTTGTTCCTCATCAATGTTTACTCGAAGCTGAGGAACAAGACACCTCCAATGAGTGAGGTCCTTGGGTTCGCCTTTGCCCAACAGCTCGCCACAAGCTGCCTTGCGGATTAATGTATATTATTATTAATTATCTTGTTACAGACTCACCCAACACAGACGGCGTTCCTATCGTCTGTGGACCTGCACACGCAATGTTCCTACCAGCTCATGATGCCCGAGGCCATCGCTATCGTATGCGCCCCCAAATACAACGAGTAAGTTCCAATTGTTTTATTTTAAACTAATATTTATGTTTCCTATAGTAATAAGGTACAAAATACAACTTTACATTTCAATACTTAAAACAAAAAGTAAAAAAATAAAGTCTGATCATTTATTTCAAATATACCAACGACTATAGGAACATTTGATGTTCAAACCAAAAAGTAAATATCAGAAAGTTCAACTTGGTGTGTCAGTCTGTCCTCTAGTAACTATTTGCTAATTCCAAAGAGTAGATTCCTATGGCGACCAACAAGCAAGAAACTCCATGGTTTATTATTTTTCAATCAGTTGTATGAACACTTCATTTTGGTTACATATTTTTTTTAGTTGATTCTATTATGTGTGAATAGTGTAACACTAATATTTAGTCAAAACAAATAAGTAAATAAAGAATGAAATAAAAAAAATAACCTCAAGGACAAATATTCATGAGTTTAGCTTATTCTAATCTAATAATTGTAATAAATTGTTACAGAACTGGTTATTTCGCGTTGACGCCAGACTATGGGATGCAGTTCATCACTAACTGTAGGCTGACCGGTTTCCATCCACACCCTGATGACCCACCTCTCTTCCATGTAAGTCATTTGTTTTATGTATGCTGTTTGACTTAGAAACGTTATGCCGTCATATGTTACGATCTCGTACAAAATTTATAGAAAAGTATCGTTTTGACATTCAATAAAAGTATTGAATTTGTATAGTTTGGAAATTACTCAACAACTTCTTCTCTTCTTTCTTCTTTTTGGTTTTTGTACTGAAACAATCTTTATTTTAGTACTTGCATACTAAATAACACAGCAAACTACGTTAAACATTTTTTCAATATCAAAAGATAAATTGAATTGAATTGAATCAATTTGCTAGATCATTAATAAAATAATAATATTTCAGACCGTACAACATATAAAAGTGGATGACTCCGCACCCGTCGAGATCGTTGACCTTAGGAGATGAAGTCAATCATTTAATTAATACATTCACTCTTCCATCACAAAGCTTGCGTTCACTCGTAGAATTATGGCCTGTCTTAATAATCGATTGGTAGATTTCGCTTCTAGAGAAAAAAATACAAGGTTTCAATCAAAATTACATTTAACCTATTCTTTAGTACCTCCCAAATCTGTTTCCAAAACTGACTGAGTACAGCGGTTATTCACGAAATTGTTCACGAATACTCAACTAAATTCAAGCCAGGCCCGGAGTTCATAATACACAATGTAATGCAAGCCTCTAGAAGCCAAATCTACTGACAGACAGATTGTGAAGACTGGTCGTTAGTTTTATTATATCAAACTAATGCTGTTCCATGCCAAGTATTATTGGAATAAATATAGTGATCGTCGTGTTGTTAGGGTCCTATTGGACACGGAATGTATAATAACTGGAGGGTTCATTTCTATGACGTATCACTTTACTTGTGTTGCCACAGTTCAATAATTTAAAGGGTTTTTATGTTATATGATATCTTTTAAAAGTGCTACGGTGTACTCATAAATACATGTTTAGATAAAATACTCTAAAATATGATATTTACGGCAGCATTAATTGATATGTTCAGAAACTATCGAAATTTAGACGAAAAAACAGTTCTTGTGTATTCCGTGTTACGAATGCGTATTATCAAGCCTTTAATAATAAGAAGAGTGACAGATATGTGTGTTAGACTATAAAATAGTTCTTTATTACATTTCCATCACGCTTCTCTAGGTTAGTATAGATAAACAGTATGAATTATTCTTTTATATTATAGGGCAATGTGATATAGTTACTATTATAAAAAAAACTTCGTAGATGCTTTAAACTATAAATGTTATGAAAAATATAAATGTATATCGTTAAGGTTTTATTTAAACTCGTAATTATTTTGAATAATTACATTTGTTGATGCACAAGAGTAATATTTATATGTTTTGTAATGTAAGTGCAAAATGCATTTTTCATTGTTTAACTTTGTTCAGTGTTTGTTGTATGAGTGCTTTTTTTACTAAATGTGCCTGCTTCGCTTGCACGTTTGTTCAATATAAATCTAGCTATTCTATTGTGTGCCTGTGGCTAGTGCGAGGTCTTTCACTGACCCGTTCGCGTACCTACAGTTAACTATGTTTATCGGTTGGGGTGGTGAACTGAAGGTAAATAATTTTGCTATGTTTTTTTACATTTAAGAGGTCGTATAAAATACATACAAAGATTATTTTAATTTATTTTATTAGCTAACTAATTTTTAGATAAAAGGACATGTTAATATTATTTATCTTTAGTTAATTACCGAATTCGATAGACCATAGAACAATAATATACGACCAAATAGGTGAAAAATATCGCTCTAGCTACTCTTGTCAATGATAAAATCGCTTCACTATAGTGTTCCTAAAAGAACTCTGGTTAGACTAGACAATTGTATAAGAAATGCTTATGCTAGTATCGTGTGACACAACTAAAACATGTTTAATTCTTTGTTTTTATCTGCCACAGATACGTGTTCATTCGTTCTATAGAAATAGATATAGAACTAAGATTATTATATATATGCCAGCGAAGCGATTGAATCGAATTTTGAATATGCATTATAATATCTAATGAATATAGCTCTTTAAGTATTTTGTGGAATTATTCAATAAAAAGGTTCAATAGATGGATAAAACCTCGCTTCGTCCTGTTCAAGTTTCTGTTGCTTAGTGAAAAATTATTTGAACATTTTGTTATTTATAGTTAATGTATATCACATATAATCATTGCAAACTAGTCTAACTTGAGCACTTATAATGAATTAACACTATTAAATATATGTATATTTATTGTGTGATATATTTATACGCAGCCTGAAGACTGAAGCTTAATGTTTATATAAAAAGATATGATATATTTATTTTATTTTATTATAAAAACTACATTGAAAATGGCTTGGAATTTCTCACATCCAAAAAATATTAGTTTTTTATTTTTCCAATCTGTAAAGTCGAACGTCAACATTAATGTTTAAATCATTGTTATATTATCTCAAAGGCTTTGAAACCTTATAAAATATATTATCAGATTATGAAATGTTTAATTATGTATGTGTTATAAAATATACGTATCTACAGTTTAGTTTATCATATTTATGCACTCTTGTGATCTAGAATTCAGTGGTTTGTTTATAAGGTTAATAATGTACTTATATACAAATATACGAAAAAAAATTTCCTTAGTCAGCGCATTTATTTTGATTGTTTCATATACAATCATAGGTAGATTTGTCCGTCAGTCCGTCGGTCAGTGAAGCTAATAATATTAAATTTGGAATCTCCTGGCATGCGCACTTAATTCAGTACCTAACCTGTGTATGTCAAAAATGACTTGCGAAATTTTGTTACACGCTGTATATAGTTAAGCATTTGTTTGTGTGAGTGCACCATTAATTATAATTTTATTTCAGCGCCTATGTATCAATGTTTCAGTGATGTTGTTAGTGCCATTTTGTGAGTCAAGTGTAAAGTATTATATAAAATAACAGTGTGAACACTTGAACCTATACATGCTTTGAAGAAAGAATAATCTCATTATAATGTGGTATAATGTTGATAAAGTAGAAAGATATGAAAAATGTTATTATTTGTACCAATAAATGTAATCTTTGTATATATTTAAACTCGGACTGACTTTAATTATATTGTAGACTGAATGGGTATTGGTATAAATGATTATAGATTTTCGTATTAGTTTGTATATGGATAGAATGCATTAGGTTTGTATAGTGCGAGTTAGATTGGGACTTTTGTATATTGAAAACGAGTAAAACTTTACTAATTTCCAGTCTCAACGGGACTCATATGAACCTAAATGTATTTTATCCATAAACATTTTTAATGGAAGTGTATATCGATGTTAAAGATCAAAATACTAAAGCGATGTTAGTAAATAAATGTGCAATAATGTCATATAGGAAATAAGATCAGTCTTATGTATGTGTGTGATTCAACTAACACGGACCAATCTGAATAAAACGTTTATTAAATTCATTATATGTTTTATTAATTGCATAATAATATTATATTAGTACATAATTCAGATATGCATTGTTGGCAGTGAAGCGAAACTAGACGTTAATAGGTACCTACATAACTTCACACACACCTGAGTAACATTAGAAATGAGGTTTTATTGGGCGACAACTTTAGTTGGCAGTAACAAAACATTTCTTTAGCATAAAAAATATTTTTGTATCTTTCGTAAGGGTTATAGCATACATCGTATTACGTACATTTATACTAACCCCTACCTCTGTTTCATGCCCCTTCTTCGTATGGGTGTAGACCATAATTTTATTTAGTTTGTTAAGTAACCATCGAAAGAATTTCCAAAATATGTTCTAAAATATTCTTTCATAACAACTTTGAACTATCCTGACTCTTATAAAAACAAAAAAAAAAAAAAGATTTAGCGAAATCGGCCAACTGTTCTTGAGATCTGCGTTAAGTGAAGCATTTAGCGATTTCTTTTCAAATGATGAGTAGCATCAGACATTTTCTTTATTTGTCGCCCAATAAACACACTTACACATGAATAACTAGGAAGAACATTGAAAGTGTTGACTCTATACGAAGTGCACACGACACAAAAACATTGCTTCTTCATTAATTAGGTACATAATGATATAATTTACCGTCAAGACGACACAACAACTATAGTTTATACTTAGGTACATAAAATTAAACTTATTTACATTTAAATTGTACTTAAATTTAGGTACTAAATTACACAGAATTTTTACAGACTACGTTTCAATAAGGCACTCTGTGCTAGTTTTAATATAAGTAAATTAAAATCCCTATTTAGATTTTTTTAATAAATAAAATAAGGCAAGCTTACGCTTCGAATAAGGCAAATAAGCTGGTTTGCTTAAAGTTGAAGGCAAGGAAGCAACATATAAGTAACTTCTACATTTTATATGATTACAAATAAAGTATGAGAAAAGATCGACTAGAGCTTCTCCTTAAACAACGAGATAACTTGGTAGTCAACTAGATTTTCTACAATGTTTGTCAACTGTTTTGATATATTAGAAACTGTGTCCTAGGACTTTAAGTAGCAACAAAAATAAATGAGGTCGATAACTGATTTTAATGGTTACTTTTCCAGTGATCTACTCGTGTATAAAGGTATTTAGTTTATTTATAAAACATATCAATCTCTTCCCTGTCCGCTGAACCACATATGTATGACTAATAAGGGTATTAACTATAACCCCTTATGAAAAAATAATAGCAATATACACTGATTAGTGTACACTAGACAAAATATTGCTAATTAACAAAACTTCAACGTAAATTGATAAGTAGACACTTTGTTTTGTTTTAAAATCAGTCCTGTTTCTCGGTACTTGCTTAGGCACTTGAAAATTCAATTAGATATCTATTTAGTGGAATTTTATACTTATAAAAAGGTTCTACATGTTAAAACAAACTAGTTTGTCTTGAAGTGTTGACTAGTCTATCGTGCTCGCTAAATCTAAGCCACAGGAATCTCAACCGTCTTCACAATACATGGATACAACAAATGCTCAAAATCAATAAATCTACATAATTATACATTCGTGCATGGACGCCGATAGCAGGCAACAAGAATAATAATCTTTAAATGTAGGTATCAAAATTTATAACAGAAGATTTAGTCCAAAATGTAAACAAACTTGAATTTTTCTTTATTTGATGGGTGGCAAGCCATCACCGACGCGCCTGGACACCCGCAACAATGGAGGAGTTATGAGTACATTGCCGACCTTTTGGCGATTATGGTTTTGGAGATGTCCAGCGGTAACACTCTCACGGCGAATCATAACGCCGTGGTTGTTTCACGTCGGTTTTCTGTGCGGCCGTGTTATTATCCGGTCAAGCCGACACATTCATGCCGAAGCTTGGCTCTTCCGTGTAATTTAATATATGTAAGTATTCGTCAAAAATATTTATTCTGAACCCGGAACCGATGTCCATGTCCATAATTATTATAAAAACATTCATATCTAGGTACTACAAAACTATTACAAGAATTCCAAAATTGCTAACATTGCGTAAGTAGGCACCATCTCGGATCTCGACTTTCGTACTCACAAAGGCACTATAAATATAACAACTTAGTAACTTTATTATAGTATGACTATAAATTGCTATCTAACAGCTATGTCCTCTAAGTATTTAAACATATGTCTTAAATAAGTATTAAAGTACAAACATTGATATAAGATGAACATTTTAGAACATTTAATAATTTAATAGGGATAAATAATTAAGGAAACGTTAGGTACAGTGTTACATAATTAGATCCATACCGTATAAAGATAACAATATTATTTTAATACACAAAACGTAAAATAATTGGTATTAGAAGTACAGAGATCGTTGCATGACTATGTTCAGCGGAGCTACTGACTAGCTTCTTGGCTTTCGAAGGCAGTTCGAAGGGCACAGTCTTATTCATCATCCAGTACAAGACGTCAGTGAGACCGCGGGACTTCAGTTCAGGCCCTACCTCCTTTCTTATCCTATTATTGTAATCATTCAACCATAAAATCTGGAACAAAGGTGTAAATGTATGAAAATAATGACCGAAAATATAAAAAAAGTCAAAAATCATTTGTTAAAATTAGGCCACAGTGGGGACTTTTGAACGTCAAAATCGTCGTAGTAGTAGCAAATTATCGACATGGGTAATCTCTAAATAGAAAGAAATTATCAGCGTTTCCTTACACGGTATCGGTTTGCATACATTCTTTCAAATCTAAAATCATGGAAACTACCGAAACGATTTTAATAAAACTTAGTGTTCAGGATAACAACCCGTAGTGGATGGATTTGAAAGTTTGTTTGGAAACTCAGGCTGCGTAATCGTTTTAAATAAATATAATACGGCGATAAAGCTTATGAAAAGATTAGCGAAATCAACTCAATTGACTTTAACAATCATGGTGACGCGTATGAGTATAGTAAGCTCTTGTTTCTATAATACAATCTTACCTCGTACTCGGTAAGCATACTCCTGTCTATTAACTTAGGCTCGTATGGCAAGAGAGTCGCCTCTTGAAATCCCAAATAACCGTTCGGCCTCAACACCACCTCCAGAACATTTCCCAAACGCACTCCATATTTGCCTGTCTCATACCATCCAGGTTCTACAAAAAAAAAGATACATAAAATAGAATTTAAGTACAATAATCTACCATTTTTATTTTATTTATTCATTTCATTCTGCTTACCGGCCGTAATAAAATACCCTTCCCTCAAGGTATGGAGATTTGTGTCTTGTCTGTAGTCAATCACAACTGGATCTGGGGATCAAAAGAGCAAAAAAGGACAATTTTATTTCATAATATTTCACTGAATATGTAGGGGTAAAATAATATATTTTATTACAGACCTTCTTTACGACATAGGGCAGCGCCTACTCCGTGTCCTGTAAGATGTGGATAATCCTGTTTGGCAGCCCAAAGTGGAGCCCGAGCCACAGGGTCAATATGCGCCGCTGGCAAAGTGGATGGGATGCGTAACCCTGCTAAAGCTGCCAAGGATCGCATCACCGTGGTGTATACCCGCCTCTCCTCACGTGTTGGCATTCCATAGTGTACTGTACGAGTTACTATTGTAGTCCCCTCTGTGTAGAAAGATCAAAGTTACATTAACTTTAATGTTAATAAATAATGCTCGTATCTAAGGATCTTAACAAATGAAAGAAAGTGCCAGATTAAAAGATAAACTAGATTTCAAGTTCTACTTCTGTATCGTAGATTTGCAAACATATAATTTCACCCGGACCCGGAATAAAATATTTGTTGTTCCTTGCAGGAATCGAACCCGCGCCACGTTTCACGGTAGTCGATTATTATGATCGAGAAAGGCTATTAGGTACTTCGGTGCAGTAATATAGTTCTAAGCTACGCACTTAATTTATACCTCATTAAAAATTACTAGTACTTAAAACTAAATTACCATCGTACTGTCCTCCGGACTGTATAATAAGCGTGGAATTCTTGGTGATGAGTTTGTTGGAGGCGTTCGTCGCTCGGTAGTCGGGATCCGCGGCGTTGGTACCGAAAGCAACACGCGTTTTCATTGCAGGTCCAATATATCCCGCTTGCGTGTCTCGGGTTATGTCCACAGTGCGCTCCACTGACATTTCACTCAGTGCTGATTTACTCTGAAAGACAAAATAATAGCATTCCTCATTATAATAAGAGTCTGATTTTAAAAGATAGTTCAATAAGATGAAATCACAGGGACAAGACTAGTTTCCCAATGATCCTACTGGGTAGGTCTATTTTAGGTCATGCATAAAATATTTCGTCACCTCAAGATAGCTCAGCAGAGTGCACATGGCAACTGCGTCCCACAAGTGCGCTTTTTTCATTCCCTTCACCTCAGCCTCGTTCTTCTGGGCCTTCAGATATATGATAGGGGAGAGCAGGAACATTCTCTTGGCAGGCGGAACGCTCTGAGCAATAGCAGCTGACGCACCGCGTTGGAATGTACCCGCTGCAGGAATGAGGATCTTGGAATCTGGTACCCGTCGCAGTTCTGAGTATATGCTCGTATACTCATTTACCCTTTTAGAAATCGAGTAATAAGATTATTCAATTATTAATTTCAAGAAATTAAGGCAAATATTATCGAAGGCATTACTTGGTGCAGTTGTTGGCATAACAGTTGTACAGGAGTGCGTCTCGTACATGAACGGACAGCTTTCCTGGTGGTACGAACACTTTGACTTCACGCAGGGTGATATACACGAAGGCTTTAAGCAATCTGGCAAATGGCAGGTCCCTTCCTCGCACGTTTAACAACCAAGCTACTTCATCCAAAGCCGTCACGATCATGGCATCAGCTCCCACGGCGTGCAGCTCACTTCGAACCAGGGCCACCTTGTCACGCCAACTGACGCCTAAAATATAAAGTAGTGGCAATTAATTTTTTTATAGGTTAAGGGTGATTTTCTATGGTGAAATAAAAGTTATCTGGGGAATAATAATGATGCGTTCGCCTCAGAATGTTTGTATACGACAGTGACAGCAACAATTTTATTCCTCAGATAACATTTATCTGGCTATTGAAAAATCAGCCCTAAGGCAGTAAACGAGCATACTGATCACACAGTAAGCAATCATATAGCGCTGCTCATTGTCACCCGAGAAGTTTTTGAGGTTACGAGTTTAAGTATGGGAGGGTAAGGGTTTTTAGTATTATTACTTTATGGTAAAGGTCGTCCGAATAACGAAATCTAAGTTACAGATATATTAGGTAGGTACCAACTATTTAATATTATGTCATCCTCACAACATGGACAAAGGTATATTGATTTATTATGTGCAGTAATAAACCGTCGAAATTGCTATGCGGTCACTGCCAGCTGCTAGCGTCCTTTGATTATTCTAGCAGATAGCGTCCTTGCAGATATCGTTACAGGTGGACGGCTCTACACTATAGGTACTTAGTTTCAGGACTATTATATACAGACGATTTAAAAGATTTCTATTAACATTCTCATTAGTCCACATTAAAACTACCTAATATCAGGTATATGTAGCAGTACTAACCAGCATGCTCTATTTCATAATTTTTAGCAACAGTTTTGGGGAAGTCGGGTCTAGTGCGGTCTGGGTCAGGCTCTTCGTTCCAAAGCTGATCAACCAATGTTGGAATGTGTACTAGTTGCAGCCCCTCGCGCTGTAGGGCTGTGGACAAGACTTGCCACTCGCCCATAGATGTCAGACGAGCGTCACCGCCGACACGACCGCTGCGAGATAACCGCTCCTGTGATAAAAGAAAGGAAATTTCGGAGTAAATAATAGACCGCGCACAATTCCATATCCCGTGCTAACTCGAATTACTTGAATTGGCAGTCGCGCTTGGAAGGGAAAAGAACTACATATTTAAGTATAGCTACTGCCGCGCGGTTTCACCCACGGTTCCTATTTGTCGTAGGGTGACAGCACTTTGTTTAGCGTACAGCAGGAATGTTGTAGTAATCTATCAGTGAAACAATTTTGAAAATACGACCAGCGGTTCCAAAGATTACTCTCTACCCCTTATAAACATAAACTTTAAATTTGAATTCTTTCTAATATTAGTATGGATAATTTACATTAATAGATTACAGAAACCCCTTACAGAAATCCATTCGGTTATAGTTGGTTGACTAGGATCGTCAGCATCGATGACGAGCCACGCGCAGGTGAGCGTGGCCCTCGCTCGCCGGACGTCGCCGGATGACACCCATATGGCAGCACCGCCGTCTGCTAATACGGCACCCGTTCCGGAGCCGTCCCATCCGCTGACGTATTCCAATCGCCGTTCCGATTTGTGGGGCTCCTCGCTCTAAACAACAAAATGGAATACATTTGGAACTTTGTGGCATTCGTGATACTTATTCTGTGAGTGCTATTTGGTGAATTAAAGAAAATCATAAAGGAGCTGATTAGCTAAAAAAAGTATAGGTATGATTAGCTCATTTAGAAGACTTAATTAACAGCAATAATTATACGATAAGAAATATTATGCACCTGCCACTTCATAGCGTCAAATTTTGAATTTACAGCCCTTTAGAAATGTCAAAAAGAGATGTGCTTGCTGCCACTGATATTCCAAAAGCAGGCTATTTGAATTCTATTTTTTTCGACCTAAAGGTTTTCTCGCCTTTTCAGTCTGAATAAAGTAGGTACACGTGCTCCATAAGATTCAGAAGAAATTTTGAAGTAATAACTTAGTGTTTTGGAGTATTCGCAATTTCAACGTATATGTAATGTTAAAGTTGGTAAGCAAAATATCCGTATTTTTTTTATTCAGAGGGATCTAATGTCAAATGGAAAATAATTTTATTTTATAATTGATTACAATTAAATTTTTGCATTTAAACGTCTACCTCCTGTGATAATGCAGCGCCCTTGATATTGGGATATTGGGCCTTGATATATTTTCTCTCCTATTAAATTGGATCATTAAGGATCTAGGACGCAGACACGAACAATGATAAGTAGGTACTTATTTTTTTATTCATATTAAAGTTTAGTCGTATCCCAACTTCAATAATATTAAGAATTACGAGTAAATCATAAAAATACTCGCCAGCTCCCCTATGATATAATTATGTACAAGTACAATCATGAAGAAAACTGCTAACCAATAAACACAATCGTCTTATTTGGTTTCAGCTATTGAGCATTGAGCTCAACTATTAACATTTTTTTAGCGGGTTTGTTCAATAAAGTTTGATTACTCAAGCAATTTTGATTAAGACTTTGATTTTATTAATTTGAAATGTTTGATTACCTTATTGACCCAACCCGCTAATAAAAATGTATTCATTATTTTAAATTCTTACCAAATGCTCATCAGTATAGAATATAAGGAAAGCATCAAAGAACGCGTTCATTTGTGTATAAGCAGAGTTTCTCATGGCGCTACGTAGCCTTCCTAACGGGTTGTTGACATCGATAGCGTCTGCACAGACGGGAGGAACCGGCTGCGTCGGCTGTTCCTGCAGAATAGTAAGCGGCACTGGAGACATAGATGGAGTCAGCGACACTGTCGTCGTAGTAGGAGGCAACTGGGCTGACAATCGCGCAGCACCACATACTGAAAGCAAATAAATAACCGCTTGATTATAGATAATTAATAACTAAGTATTTTGATACTTATTCATATCTGTTATTAAAAACGCTCTTTAACTTTTGTTATTGACTGCCATTATCATAATCTAGATGAGTCCCAGAATGACATACAAATATATTAATAATATTGTTGTCTCTTTCTCGATGCACGATAACTAAAAAAGTTCACCAGAAGGAGAAAGCGGCTAGCGACAGTGGTGTTTGTAGCGCGGGAATGTACCAGGGTACCATACAAACCGAGGAGATCGACGAGACGTAAAGCTTTCCGAAAGCTCACGCGTGCGACAAGGATAGCAGGGGGACCAATAATCCACCCTCCCGTTTTAACATTGTTCCCCGAACGCGGGATCCTTTTATTGTTGGGGGCGTGTCTTCTACCCAACCTTTATTCATTCTATAGCTACCAACATTATCCTCATTGATAAAGGAATCGTTAAGATGTTAAAAAAAGTTAAAAATATCTTTCTGAACATTTTTGTTAACGATGTTACATAGAAAAATATTAAAACAACTGACGACTTATACTTGTGTTATGTTACTTTGTGTAACTCACGTGAAATCTGATTTAATTTCCTTATTTTTTGTTAAATCGTATTAATTATATTTTAACGTCATAATTTAGCAAGAAAATCATTGCAACAATCTGACAATGTGCTGTGCGAGCAGGTAGTTTACCAAGTTAAGGTCAACGTTCGGGAGGTAGAGGTACCCAGGGGATGTGGATTCTATTGGAATGACGTCAACAACTATCAGGACTTCATAAGGTGTGAAGATGTATTTCGTCCTTTCCCTTTCATCCAACGCGGCAACGTTCGGGACGGGGTCGGAGATTGTGGGTGATAAAATGAAGTACGTAATTTGTTACGCCGAAATGGCTGAAATGACGTCTGTAAACGCCAGGGCTGCAGGATTTAGAAGAGGCTGTAAAGATTCGCTGTTTTGTATGAATGATATTGATAATAATCACAGAACAGAAAATTATAATAATGTCCTGTATTTACTATACAATTACATAATACTTTATAAGTTAAGTATTGAAGTAAACTTTGGTAAACTTAAATAAATTAAAGTCAAACTATAGCATTTAAGTGTCTTATTATTACCATTCATTTTAAAATAAGTATAGCAAATAATCTCTATTTTTACGAAAACAACAACAATAACAAAATAAATAAAAAGAAAAATATTTTTAAGTAAAGTTATTCCTGGGCTTCTTTTTCTTTTTAGTTAAAAGACGAGAATAATTATTGTTCGTCGTTCGTCCATGACGACAAGTATTTTTTTTCAATATTGCTTACGTATCCTGTCCCTTAAGAATGGCTTTTCGTATTCCCAAAGGGACGAAATATCCTGCGAGTTACTAGGCTGGCATAAGATATAAGAGCCGTAAGATTGTAACATTGTCCTGTTCAAGGATACTCAAGGATAAAAGGCAACGACCGTCGTCGACCGTGGCGGCGCGCAGTGCAAGCGACTGCAGCGGCCATTCACTCGACATGCTATATAAATATAATATCTACCTACGTGTACGTAGTGAATAAGTAAACAGATGTGTACACAAAATGGTACTGATATAATGTGCAACACTGAGAAATTAGTTCTGCTACATATCAAGAAATTATGGTCATCTGAAAATTAAGCGATTTTCTATTTTCATACGGTTTAATCACGGATTGTAATGACTATCTCATTGCAGGGTAATTTTAGAAACATTCCTAATTTTTATGTTTTTGTACACTAGATATATGAATTTCATCGCAGAAATTATGTATTAAGTATAGTGCTGTAAGTTTGTTTGCACCTTCTTTTTGTTCGAACTGTACTTACTTGGAGATACGATCCCGAAATGAAAAACGAACAAGTTATTACGAGCGAGTTTCCCATCATTTTTACTAAGAAAACATGATCACAAAGACGTTGTTAGTTCACGTTATGTTGTATACCTATACAACACGGTTGAAAAAGTATGAAAAAAAAATTTACCACTCAATTTATTAAAACTATTCTTAAATTACCTGAAAAACGTCTAACATGGAATAATAACATTTTGACCTACTGGATAATTGTTTAACGAGCCGCAGCTTCAGCGTCATCAGAGTCATTTCATTCTATTTCAATCTAATCTGATATCGGCATTCTAAAAAAATGCGTGTGCGTAAGAACAATGGTTTGCCCCCTTTTTATACCAGGATATAATAGGTTGCCAAGAGGTGTTGGATTCCGAAAGGACCGCCATGATATCGTGTGGGGTGTTGTGTAGGCGGGTTCACAGGCAACGAACTGTACAAAAGGGACACGTCGGGGTGTGCGTGAATAGCGTGTGTATACGAAAAAAGGAAAAGTATAAAAGTTTTGTATGTTTGCGTGGCTATGGAGATTACAAAGTATCAATGTTATGTTCTACGAATAAAATAAAACTGAAATGGTTTACGTATTTTTATTTAAATTTTTATAACAGATTAAAGTTGAGTATACATATATTAGGTACGTATACAGACATTATTTAATACCTAGTTCATTTCAATAGCTAGAACCTTTTATTCTCAATAGCGATTAAACAACGACTGTTAATTCTTGATTATCATCCCACGAATGAAGTTCCTTGACTTTAATCCAAGACGATTAATACTTGGAAAGTATTTTTATTAACACGTCTTATGACGTCAATTTCCACTAGGTTATCATGACTGTACAGGAGTTCATCCAGCTTTTCAAAGGTAAAGAAACTATGAATGACGGGAGTGGGACGCACTCTCTATTTCGTGCACACAACGGCACAGTCTCACGTCACGTTCGCGTCATATAAAATAACATTTATTTGATTGATCACGACTTGCTATTAGATAAAAATATCAGTAAAGTACCTGAATGGAATTATTAACCAAGTATTTTCTTCTAAACTTATCAAATTACGGAAACCAATTACATTACTGTTCTCACAAAACGTGAAAAAAGTGGGATTTTCCATTTATTAACCATCACGTAGATCACGATTATTAGATTTAATTTTAAAGGTATTATAATAATTAAACACATAAAATACCTCAATACTTGATTAAAAAATAAAGAAATGAAAAAAGTATTAAAGGTCGTATTAATACTTTTTTTTCGGTCGTTCCACGTAACCCGTTCGAATTGGACGTCGAACATTTACTAGGAGCACCTAACTCGTCAGAAGGTGGGTGATATTCGGCCTGAGTAATAGGTGCTTATTGCACACGAGAAGGTATATAATAAAACGTCTAACTCAACATCTGTTATGTTTTCCCCGTAACTTAAGGCCAGTATAGCTGCAACTGGAATAAAAAAATATCTAAGTGGAAAACGCATATCATGCATTCTTCCTTCTTTGTACAAACAAGTAGGTACAAATTCTACTATTATGTTACGAGGTTGAATACACCCATATAAGAAAGGCTATTTCCAAAATGTACCCTTCTAGTAAATACCAGACAATTCCATATTCTGTGTTTGTACAGAGAAATGAGAGAATTAAAAAAAAAAACGTAAAAGAAGCATTAATAATATTTTGCTTGACCGGGAATCGAATGTGAGCCACTTACTTAGTAGTCGCACTTGCTTCCATAATTTGACCAAAGATACTGTGAGAATAATAATAATTATGCGATTAATTTATTGAATAAGCCAATTAATAATGACATAAAAATGCGTAGATATCAGATACAAGGTATCAGGACGCCATAAAGTCAAGAAGATAATGACTTTCAGTTTTTGTCTAATTTATGTTTACACTTGTGTATTTTTTTGTAGGCATCTACTTACTGTGTATATAAATATCTAACTAGGCGTGAAAAGCATGCACGAGTGTAAGAGTGACAAATTGATAAATCATTAGTAGGTAATGGACTATATTTTAAATTTTCTAATCATCCAAGTAAGCTGAGAAATGAGATTCAATTTATGACTGTTTTTCGATAAGGTTAACAAAAAAAAGCTTATGAAAATATTATAATTGAATCTAATTGGCATTAGAAATGGGAAGGGCTACAAAATAATACTCTACATTTCCACATTGGTACAAGTTAGGTGTGTTTTACGATGAGATTACAAGAGTAAATATATTAGTATCTGTATGTAGCACACAAGTCTGACTTTAATGCATATAAATATAGCAAACAAAACGAGAGAGACAGAGACCGAGTTAACGAAGCACACTGGCATTGTAAGCCCTCCGCAGCTATGCTGGTCTCTTTCTCTCCGCGCGTTTCCCAACCGCTACGATTGCCGTCGGTTGGAGGAAAACGGAGGGAGGCGCGTATGCAGTTAGCTAGCCGAGGAGTTTGTTGTACCGACTGGTAAAGTATCGAAGGGCAATGCACCTCTGTCGCGTGCTGCGAGCCTGGTGCAATAGTCGCTGTTGACGCATGTCACTGCGTCATGGGGCGTGTGCGACGGCGCGGACTGCCTGCTCTGCTTCTGTGTTGTGGTTGCGAAGACAGCCACATTTGCATTGTTACACCGATGTTTCTACCGTGTACGCTACATGTCAAACAATAACATGTCTGTAATAGACTCGTGTGTGTTTACGTGTGTGCTACGTATGTAAGTACGACGGATAAATTTTATTTTTAGAACATTATTTCAAGCTTAATTTAAATACTTTATCTTTAGTGTGTCCATGTCGTAACATAAATATAAAATATGTACTTATGTGGAACAGGCCTTTCCTTAATAATCTAAATTAGGTACCTATCCTAATAATTTACATTTGTAGGTACACACACGCATACTAACAAAATAACCCACTGTCACGAAAGGCGATCAAAATGTAGAGTCAGTCGGTAATGTGTGGGTCATGTTTATCACGTTAAATATGACCACGTGTCGGAAAGGGTTGCACATGTGGGCTATAAGTACCAGGATAGCAGAGCAAGGGAAGAGGTCGAATACACATGTGCTTCGTCAGTGTGTAATCGGGATCAGCTGTTCACACAGGGGTGTGGA